GTAAGATAGTGCAGGCACCCGCAGGCCACAATTACATTATGGAATCTGGGGATCACGTTCAGATGGTCAAGCTTGCTGCACAAGCACTTTTAAGCCATCTTGCTAGCCCCAAAGCACTACTTTTGTGATGAGTATTAACACTGTACCTTGGAACACTTCTCACAGCAGACATGTTATTTTTCCTTCTTACTAACCAGTTCTCCAATTCTTCACATGCTGACGGGATATCCGGCAATACAGTTCAATTCTGATACTACTTAGGGCCAACATTAGTAGGGTTAAGGATTCAGACCCATAAGACTGCCCCCAGTTCAGACAACAATAGCAAACAGCTTCCCACACCTCCCGTAAGGGCTTGGGTTACAGCCGGGGCTTTCTATTCTCTGCTTTCCCTTTCAGATTCAGTAATTGGCTTACAAACTCTAGTAATCTACTTACTGTTAAAGGGGTCTATTGTTGTTGGTTGTTTCTTGTTTTTCTAAAGCATATGAATCAGCAGCCAGTTGAAGTCTGTAGGTGGAGGTCCAGAGGTTTTGGGTCATAGGGGCTTCCATCCTATGGAACTGGGTGTGTCACCATTGCTACACATGGCTGCACTCAGTGACTCAGAAAGTGGGTGGGTTATGGAAGTTTTATTCTGTAGGCCTTACTGATGAAATCAATGGCCACTGGTAATTGAACACAATCTCTAATCCCTGTTGCCTCCTTAGAAGTCATAGCTTGGTCCTTCTGGTGACCAACTGCTTACCAAGCTAAAAGGGTCATGTCATCAGCAGACCATACAGTCTCTGTCCCATAAGAAATTTCAAGGATTTTTAGACTTATGCCGGGAACTAGAAACAAAGGCTTGATTTTTTTGAAAGATGTATTTTTACTTTTTAATTATGTGTATACTTGAGTGGGTATGCATATGAAAGCATAGTTGTCTGTGGAGGTCAGAGGAGGACTCAAGTTACCGGGGATGTGAGCCACCTGGCGTGGTGCTTCGAACGAAACTCTAGTCCTCTACAAGAGTAGTATTTGCTTTGCTGTTAATCACTGAACCATCTCTCCAGCCTCCCCCATCTTCCCCCCCATATTTTTTTATTATGCCACAGTAACACTTATTAGTTAGAATTGTCTTAAAAAAAAAAAAAACTCATGGTATCAAAAACTTGGTAAACTACCCAAAAGTATTCACCAAAGACTTATAAATTTAAAAATAGAAAATTTAAACAAATTAGAGTTTAGCATGGTGGTGCATGCCTGTAATCCAAACATTTGGGAGGTAGAGGCAGGAGGGGAATTGTTTCAAGGTCATCCTTGAAAGATGTCAGATGCCCTGAAACTGAAGGTACAGGTGATTATGAGCTGCCTGATATGGGTGCTCACAACCTAACCCAGGTCCTTTGCAAGAGCACCAACTGTTAACCACGGAGCCATCTCCCCAGCCCTAGTGTACATGTATTCTTTAACAAGAGAGTAAATGAGGATGAAAACCATTTATGCAAATTTGCCTGTCAGAATTTAGCCATGAGCCATTTAAGATTTAAGAAAGAAAGAAATCCTAAATCAGATAATAGTTTCAGAAATATTTTCTGGACATGTTCATATACTTAGGTTTTAGAATATATTATAGTTCATAGGTTAGGTATTGAATATGGTTGTATGTTTATGAGCTTAATATGTAGTATTTATGCGATTCTACACATTCCAAGTTGAAATTTTTCTCAGCCATTTTGAACCTTTTATATAATCTTACATTTCTGATCATTGCTGTAGATGACTAAACTTTTTTTCCTTAACAGAGATAAAAACAGCGGTGTTTGATGACTGCAGGAAAGAAGGAGAATGGAAGGTATAAGTTGTGTAATTTGCTCTTCTATGGGGGGCTTCAGAATATTCTACTTAGGGTGTTTCCGAAAGGTCATAGGCCTAGACCAGCACTTTCAGATGTTACTTTGCCTCTAAGCTGTGGTGGTACCTTGGGCAAGTCACCTAACATTTCCATTTCCGTGTCTAGAGGATAGGGATCATAATACATCATACCATAGTTGCAAATGCTATGTGTTTGAACAGTGCTGTGTAGCAATAATTCTATAAATAACAATTATGTTTTTTGGAAAATTTGATGTTAAATATTAGCCATATTTAAAATGAACAAGCTCTGCTTCGAAATAGAAATATTTCCATTTCCTTACTTGTATGTAATATTTACATGTATGTATATTGAGAAAATAACCCATCAAATCATATAGCTGAAGAGGAATTACTAAAATCCTGTTTGTTAATTGTTAATTCTTGACAGTCAGCTGTTTATGTTCATTCTCAATTTGCTTTGTTTTAAGATAATGCTGTTAGATGAGTTTACCACCAAGCTTCTGTCATCGTGCTGCAAAATGACAGACCTTCTAGAAGAGGGGATAACTGGTAAGTGTTGCCATTGCTCATGAAAACTTTGGCAACTGAGTGTGAGTTTCTAGTATGGAGGCGTATAATAGCGTGGTTTTTTGTTTTTTTGTTTGTTTGTTTTTCTTTTTAAGAATTTTTTTAAATAAAGATATTATTTATTTATTATGTCTTCTGCCTGCTTGCCAGCAGAGGGCAGATCTCATTCAAGGTGGTTGTGAGCCACCATGTGGTTGCTAGGAATTGAACTCAGGACCTCTGGAAGAACAGTCAGTACTCTTAAGCGCTGAGCCATCTCTCCAGCCCCTAGTAGCGTGTTTCTTAAAAATACGTGTGTGTGTGTGTGTGTGTGTGTGTGTGTGTGTGTGTGTGTGTGTGTGTGTATGTGTACACATACACATATACATATATGATTATTTTTTAATTTTATCACATCGGTGCCTACCTGTAAAAGTTCTACTTTGGTGTCTTCCCAGGCTGACACAATCCCACGTATAGTCTCAGAGAAGATACTTTTTTTTTTTCTTTTTAGAATTTATTAATTTAGCAAATAAAGAAGCCAAATATATATAAATGTGTTTTATTATTATTATAAATGGAAAATACAATGAAGTTTATTTAAAAATATTTTAAACTTTGGTTCTGTCAAATGACTTTTGTTTGTTGTTGTCAGTTATAGAGAATATTTATAAGAATCGGGAACCCGTCAGACAAATGAAAGCTCTTTATTTCATCTCTCCAACATCAAAAGTGAGTATTTCCAGTCTTGAGAGGGAGTTTTTGGGCTGGAGTATAGCTCAGTGGTAAAGTGTACTTTCATATGTGTAAGACCCAGTAAGCCTTGATCTGAAGATTTTCTTAATTGGTTTTTATTTGGTATGTATAGTACTGTTTCTGCTTTTTTGCATGTATACACATGTGTGCAGGTACAAATAAAGTCCAGAAGAGGGTATTGGATCCCCTGTAACTGGAGTAATAGACCAGTGTGAGCTGCCCAGTGTGGGTGCCTGGAAACTGAACACAGGTCCTCTGCAACTGGTAGCTATGCTTGCAATTGCTGAGCCATCTTTCTAGCCCCTCAGCCCTTGATATTAAAACACACAAACAGTTTCTTCACTAAGTATTAAATATGCCTTATTAGGAGATTGTTTCTATTAGCTGCTTTATTTATGAAAGTTTTTCTGTATTATGATGTTTTATTTGTACTTCTCCCAGTAAGAATGAATAAAGATTTCCTTTCTCTTATTATATATGAAAACAGAATTAATGATATAAAATGCTAGTTTCTTTGTAGCAGTTGAGATTCACATAGTTCCTATTGACCCTTAATTTTGAAAGAAATGGAAATGTAGATTAATCAGTCTTAAACACTATTGTTTTAAAAAGATGTGTTTATTTATATTTTACGTGTATGAGTGTTTGCCTGCATGTGCATTTGTCCACCATATGCGTGCTTGGAGCCCATGAAGGTCAGAAAAATGGTTATCTTAAAAAGCCAGTTTGTAAGGTAAACTTTTAGCCAGTAAGAGCTTGTTTTATTGAAAAAAAAATAAACTTGGTTAGCATATTTAAGTTAGTATTTAATAAACTATGTGTTAACATCTCATTTCTTTTTAAGTCTGTAGATTGTTTCTTGCGAGACTTCGGAAGTAAACGTGAGAACAAGTATAAGGCTGCGTATATATACTTCACTGACTGTAAGTGCTGTTCTAAAGGGTATCGCCTCATTGTTTAACATCCTGTTCAATTAGAGTGTCTGCCTTTTAGTTTACATGTATGAGTGTTTTGGACTCTTAATCAGAATCCCAGTTATCAGAAAGAAGCTTAGGGGAAGGAACCAAAGAAAATAGCCTTTTTGTTTGGAATATTTTATGGGAGAAAAATAAGAACTATCATATTTTTCTCATTGTATACATTTACATGGAAAGCAGGAGAGAGGAAAGAATTCCTGAGACATTTATGTTTTATGTTCAGTTACATAACTTTATTTCTTTTTTTTTTTTTTTTTGGTTTTTCGAGACAGGATTTCTCTGTATAGCTTTGGAGCCTATCCTGGTACTCGCTTTGGAGACCAGGCTGGCCCCGAACTCACAGATATCCGCCCGCCTCTGCCTCCCGAGTGCTGGGATTAAAGGCGTGCACCACCAACGCCTGGCCATAACTATATTTCAATAAAAAGTCTGAAGCCAGGCAGTGATGGTGCATGCCTTTAATCCCAGCAGAGGCAGGCAGATCTCTTTGAGTTCAAGGCCAGCCTGGTCTACAGAGCAGCTGCACACACAGAGAAACCCTGTCTGGAAAAACAACAACAAAAGATTTAGCCTGTTATTTCCCCTCTGTTTCATGCCTTGTAGTTATCCTCTGTCTGCAGAGCAGTTTGCTTTATAAAATCCAGATGCTGTACATAAAAATATTATTGCATGTTGGATAACTTGTTCAAAAGGAGTAAAGACTTACGGACTTGTGCTTTCCCCTTCAGTTTGCCCTGACAGCCTCTTTAACAAGATTAAGGCATCTTGCTCCAAGTCAATAAGAAGATGTAAAGAAATAAACATTTCCTTTATTCCACATGAGTCTCAGGTACTGGTCATTTTTATTTTTTAATTTTTGCTTATAAAGGATTTTCAGAATTATGATTCTAAAGCATGATCTGAGGATGTTTTATGTATTTATTGGTAAATGTGCTTAATCTATAAGTAAACATTCCCATAATAAATGGAGAAACATGAACAAAAATTGGAATACAACATTAATAATGCAAAGAGGGGGCCAGGTGGTGGTAGCAGCGCACGTCTTAATCCCAGCACCTGGGAGGCAGAGGCAGGCAGATCTCTGTGAGTTCGAGGCCAGCTTGGTCCACAGAGCAAGTTCCAGGACAGGCTCCAAAGCCACAGAAAGAAACCCTGTTTCAAAAAAAAAGAGAGAAAGAGAAAGAAAACAGGCATCTCATCATGTGTGATAGAAACAGTAGTGTAGTAAATGTTGGGGACATTTCCAGAACATTACTTCACAACAGATCATTTTTAGCCCCAGAATTCTTTCAAATCCTACAGTTGCTGTGTCTGCAGAAAGGAATTTCATAGCAACATGACTTAATTTGATGGCTTATGGCAGAAGATGTCTATCTATATAAACAAATCTCTTGAGAAAGTTTACTACCAGCCTGTGAAATATGATTATTTAAGGTTCTCTTCATGGATTTTTTTCTACATTTTCTCTTCTAATTTACTTCCTTGATATATGTCTTAGGTGAATTTACTTACAAAAATTATTTTGAGATAGTGTCTGATTATAGCTAGTAAGTACTAGGATTACAAATGTCCAATACCATGTCTGGTTTTACCCAATAAGTTTAATTGATCTGAAAAAATTAGGAGAACAAAAACATTGGAAATACATGTGACATACTGCTAGGAACAAAGGCTTATCTGAACATGTAATCATAGTTTTATTTCAGGGAAGGGTGTGATAGAGTATGCCTAAAATACCAGCACCGGGGAGGCAAAGGCAGTGGGATCACAAGTGCAAGGCCTGAGACTATTCCAACTAGACATTGCTAGATTCAAGGCCGTCTTCTGTGAAATGTTGACCATAATAGTTGGTCTATTTTCATTTGAGAACTATAACGTATTCAAAAGTTATGTCAATTAGGATTGGTACACCTGAGTAAAGCAGGAGAATGGAAACTTTCAGTGGCCTAAACAGTGAAAATGTACTTCTTTCTGTATAAAAATTCAGGAAATAGTCTGTATAAACCTTACAATTCTGTAGCGCTACACAATTGTCAGGAGCCTCTTCCCTTAGGCATGCCCTTCAGGAGCCAGGTGATTGTAGAATTATTATATTCCTATTTGAGGTACAGGATAACAGAAGATATATAAGTAGAGACAGAATGAAATAAAATCTTGATTTACTCTGTATTCAGTAAAATTTAGTTCTATGACTACACTAAGCACACGGGAAACTGAAAATGTCTTAGATGGGCATGCGTAGCCGTACTCCCCAGTGAACTGGAGTCGTTACTGTAAAGTAGGGGAGGTATGTTTGTTGAGGACACATGTCACAGTCAACCACAAAAGGAATGTTTACTAGGAGATTGGGGAAACATTTAAAAATGAACAGAATTTTACATGGTAGCAATCAAGAGGTATGCATATTATAGGGGTAAGAATACCTGAATGCAAAGACACACAAGCAGAAAACTGGGAACACTAAGAATATGGGTCACAAGGAGTCCTGGCATAATAGAGAAGTCCATAAGCTGGCTGAGGTTGTATACTACAGGAGGTGCCAGCTCCCTCAAGATAATAGCTGTGGATAAGCTGGTGCAGAAAACTTTGGGCTGATCCTGAAGTCTTTAAGGAAAAGTGTAATCTTAGGAGCCATTGTGAAGTCATTGTAATTGACTGGATTCTTATTTTACATCTTCTATATTCTGGAACCTAAGCTGAAGAAGGCAATAGAAATATAATCGGGAAAAGAAAAAATGTTGGAGCCAAATAATTGTTTTTGTTGCTGTTGACAGTCTTTTTTGTTGTGGGGATTTGTTTGGTTTTGGTAGGTGTTGGAGATTAAACTCAGGGTCTTGAACATGTCAGACAAGCATTCTACCACTGAGCTATTTCCCTCCCTGCCCTCATGTACGCATGTACATGTACTCATGTACACATGTATGGGGGCATGTGTGTGCGTGCGTGCGTGCGCGCGCTCGCGCGCACGCACGCGCACACACACACACACACACACACACACACACACAGTGGTTCTTAGAGCTTCTTGCATGATACATGTCTTTTCTACGAACATTCCATAGTCAAGACATCAGGAGTAGGAAATATATTCTCATAGGGATGGTTCTCAACCCCCTGATGCTGTGACCCTTCTACACAGTTCTTGTTGTGGTGACCCCAACCATAAAATGATTTTCATTGCTACAAAAGTGTAATTTTGCTGCTGTTATGAATCGTAATGTATATATCTGTTTTCCCAGTGGTCTTAGGTGACCCCTGTGAAAGGGTTGTTTGGCCCTCAAAGGGGTCACGACCCACAGGTTGGAAGCTGCTGTCATAGAGAGAAGTCTTTCAGGCATAAGATAGTACCATTTCTAACAAGTCACATTACCTGTTGCAGTGGGATAGTGTACTATGAGGGGACAGTTGATATGCAGGGTGCTTGTTGGTTGATGCATACACAGCAGTTGAGCCTTTGAGAAAAGAGACCCTGGATTGGCACAGGTCTGTGGTCAGGCTGCTTATTCATAACTTGTACATAACCTGTATTTGTTACTTACTCATTTCTACACGTTTTAAAAAACCCCAAACTTAGTTTACTGGGGAACTCTCAACTCCTGCCTGTCTGTTACAATAGGCTGCTAGCCCAGGTCTTTGTTGTTAGCTGAGTGCGGGGGTGTATCTGTGAGATTTCATTGCATTTATGTTAAGTCCTTTGTCTTTCACAGTGACTTGTGGTTGGGGAAGAAAGTCTTTAAGGATGTGATTCTAAGCTAAACAATTAAAAGAGGTCTATATATCAGCCTTGGGAAGTTTCTGGATTATTCTGTACTAGGTTAAGATTCTTTAAATTTTCTTTCTGCCAGCATGGTATATTTTCATTTTGATACTTCCTACTTCAGATTCCTTCCTGTTGCACCGGTTGTAAAATGCAGTCAGTATAAACTGTACTTAAAACAAGAATTGAAGGAGTGAAGCAGAGAAACGGAGGAGACGGAGACAAGAGGTGAAGGGTGACAGATGAGGCAGTGAGATCTGAGAAGATGAAGGCAGCTGTGTCAGGAGACAGCCTGCAAGCATTTGTCCTCCGGTGGCTCAACCACAGCTGTGTTTTTCCTGATACATTATTAGAATCAAGTCTCTAGATTGACAGTGTAACTTTTTTTTGACCTAACTTAGGTTTATACTCTTGATGTACCAGACGCATTCTATTACTGTTACAGTCCGGACCCTAGTAATGCCAGCAGGAAAGAAGCAGTCATGGAGGCAATGGCTGAACAGATAGTAACAGTGTGTGCCACTCTGGACGAGAACCCTGGAGTGAGGTATAAGAGGTAAGGCCTAAAGCACCATAGCACTGCTTTTTTGTATCACTTTGCAGAATACAGGTCCCTTGTATAACTGCCAGGCTCTGTATAAAAAAGATCGAAAGTTTAGCTTCAGATTGCAGAGCAACTAATAAATAACCTTTGCTACTGAATTTCAGAATTTAAATTTGGTTTCATTTATTTATAGAAATTTTTGTTTGTTTTATCACTTTAAGGAATGCTTTGAGGGCTGTTTTACTGGCTATAATCTTGACATTTAATGATTTATCATTATGTTTCCACCAAACTTAAATGGCTATATTATCTGAACACTTGTTATAGTATCTAAGCATTTCTAGTATTTGATCCCAGTGGGCATTTTAATTAAACTTTAGAATGTTTTTAAAGAGGTGAAGTTCCATTTTTATACTATATTCCTTTATTTACTGGTTTCTTTATGAAAATGAAGTTTACTGTAAAGTGTATTCTTTCTTGTATCAGGTTTGTTAGTTCATTCCGATATGAACAGTAGTCACTTGACCTTCCTGTGAAAAACATCTCACAGGCCCCCTGATTGGTCCTGGACACCTCCCTTTTCCCTCCCAGAACAAACTGCTGCTCACGTTTGAGATGCAGCTTAGTTTTGCCTGATTTTGAACCACTATAGATGGGATTATGGGGTTTTGTTTGTTTAATAGTTTTTTGCTTAATATTACTTTCTAAGAGACACCTGTTGTGTGTGTTGTTAGTCACTTTGGGTTTTAATTCTGCTTCTGCTACCAACTGTGTTTTTAACCTGGTCTTAGAATTTATAATTATAAAATGGGAATGATGATAATAGCTTTCTCACAGGGTTGTTAGCATGAAAGGAGTAAAACGTAAATGTAAAATGTAAAAAAATAAAAATAAACTGCTGGTTATTAAAGCAATATAAAAAATCTCTTTAACTCAGACACCCCCCAAAAAGCTTTTTACCCTGGCAATTAGAAAACTTGTGAATAATGTGCTAATTATAATCTGGGCTTAGAGGAGCTGAGCTAAGTGGTTTGCCTCTTGCTAGAGTTTAAGTGTCTAAGCTTCTATTAGTGATGGTTGGTCATGCTCAAAAAAGTCAGCACAAACCATTTGATAATCTAGTAGTTTATGTACAGACATGTTTTGATGTACTAAAAAAAATATGGTAATAGCCATAGCTTTAAAAATTCTGGGGCTGGGAGATGGCTCCATTGGTAAAATACTTGCTGTGCAAGCATGAGGATCTGAGTTAGTGTCCCCAGCAGTCACACAAAAGCTGGCTGTAGTGGTGTACACTCTTGCATGTGTCTCCACACCAGCCCTCGGGAAGTGACTAGCCAGTCTAGCTGAAAGGGTGAGCTCCAGGTTCAGTGAGAGACCCTGTCCCCCAAAATAAGGTAAAGGGTGACAGGAAAACCCCAATGTTAACCTCTGGCCTCCATAGACACATACACACAGATGAACTCACCCATACACACACACATACCACACACATCATAAATACACAAATTCTACATTTTTTTCACAGAATGCTCCTTTATGCTGTATAAACTTTTAAGGTAAATTCTAAAATAAAATTTTTTTTAACATTTTTCAGCAAAAAAATATAAAAATTAACTCTTGTAAGTGTACCTCTATTTTTAAAATATAAAACCAAAAGATTCTTAAAAACTTTAAAAGTTTCTTATTTTTCAGATTAGTGTGCTAGTTGAAGAGCATTTTCCAACACTTTTCTTGTAGGTTTATAAAAATATACCAATGCCACTGATCATGAAGTTACAATTTTAAAGTATGATGCTACCATTTTTATTTTTATTATTAAATATTTATTTACTTTTATTTATGTGTTTGTGTTTGTGCCTGCATGAATTTATACACTTGTATGTATGCAGCACTTGTATGTAGTTGCCCCAGAGGCCAGAAGAGGTACTGAAGTGACAGGCAGTTAGCTGCTTTGGGTTCTAGGAACAAAACTCAGATCCCCTGCAAGAACAGTGAGCTCTTTAAACCACTGAGCCATATCTCTACCCAGTGCTGCCGTTTTATAAGAGAGAACATACGAGTTTGAGAACAAGAGAGAATGTAAGGAAGCACCACACTGCTAGTAGTGTGTATAACTGTCACTTCATTTGGAAAGCAAAGTTGAGAATGCATGTACCTCTGGTCAGGATTCATACCTTCATATGCAGTGTACCTAGAAAAATGTGTAGATGGAGAAATGCACAAAGCATATTTGTTTCCAGGTTGCTTATAATGGTATGAAATTGAGAATGATTTTGGTTTCCATCTACTTTCAGGGGAATGAATATATAGACTCCAGTGTAGTAATGGAAGGGGGGTATATGGGAATGGCAACTTTATATGTAATATTTTTTTCTTTCATATTAAAATATCTGAAGCACATGCTGAAGCTGTGACAATTATATGATACGCTTGAAGTTTTCTATATTTGTAAATTTTTGCATTTTATAAACATTAAGTTATATCTGAAGTTCTCCATATTTGTAAAGTATTGTGTTTTATAAACATAAAGTTGCAAAATCTTATTTTAGAATTTAACTTTATAATATTGCAAAGTGTGTTCTGAAAGATAATTTTTAAAACATTTTTTTCCTTTTCTAGTAAACCTCTAGATAATGCCAGTAAGCTTGCACAACTGGTTGAAAAAAAGCTTGAAGACTACTACAAAATGGATGAAAAAGGCCTAGTAAAGGTAATTTATAAGCAGCAAGTGATGACTGCATAAAATCTATATTTCTTTTATAAATCAAAGCAGCCTGTGTTTGTTCATTTCCTGGTATTGATTTGGCGATCGTGTAGATGGGTCTTCAGTTGTGATCTGAGAGTCCTTAAGAGGAACCCTTAGTAGGTAGTGTGGTTCAGCAGTGTGGTTCAGCAGTGCGGTCAAGGGGAGGCTGGAACCTTTGAAGTCAGCAGTGGGGCCACAGCTGGGCTTTGCCATTTAATGATTAATTGTTAAGTGAGGAATCTTCTTTGAACTAAATTTTTGTCTCTATAAAGTGGAAATAATAATAATGCCTATTTTTAAGCTAATGAAAGGATTAAATGAGTTAATATGTATTAAGTCTTCAGAATAATGCCTTCCACTGAGTTAATACTTAATAAATGCTGGCATTCCCACTATTACTAGCTATGCAACCTTGAGTTGTTTCTCATCACGGAAGTGAATGAGATATGGGTTGCTTGGCTAGTGTGAGAATAAGGTGAGGTAACATTTTGTACATGTAAGAGTAATAAATAGCAATCTTTGTTATTGTCTTCTAAAAATAATGTAATGTAATCAAAGACTAAGGTTGGGACCTGGGGAATGCCAGCATATAGGTGTGGCTGGAGAAGGAAGAGCCTGAGGAAGGAGATGGACAAGTGGTGTCAGAAGCTGAGGAGCTGCATCACAATAGCTAGAGCATAAAAGCAGGAACTGTCCTAGTTCAGAAGAGGAGGTGGCCAAGGAAACCACTGGTAGGCAGCGCTGTGCAGCAAGTGGCTTGATGGGAATACACAGAATAAAATGGCAACACAGGCAGGGGCTTATCTTACTCTAAACCAGTCTTAGAAGGTGTCCTACAGGAAGAGGCCCTGAGCTTCAAGAATGACTATAGCATAATAAAGATGATAATAATAATATTGCAAGAGTAACAGGGTTCTTTGGGTGGAAACATAAAAAGGTAAAATTCAGTGTTAAACAACATGGATAGAAGTTGTCAATTTAGAAGTTGTGCTGGCTACTTGAAAAGTTAGTGACTTTTGTCTTGGAGGTCTAGTGAAAGTTGTTATTCTGTTAAGAAGGTTAGAGTGTCTTAATAAACATAGGAGGTAGTGAATAAAAATATTTGTTAACTCAAGAAATGATAGTAAGTACCTCTTTAGTCCTATACAGCTTCAGTGAAAAAGAACAAATTGTTCTTCCCCTCTCTCCCCCCTCCCTCTTTTTATTCTCTCTCCTGGGAAATTACAGGCCCTTCAATTGCTTGATACCTTTCTTTATACAAGCACCTGCTGAAGGCTTACCTTTTTTCAGAGCCTGTCCTGACTCTTCAAGCCAAGTGATACCATGGTCTTTCATATCCCTAAGCTTTTCTATAAATGCCCAGGACTGCCTTTTCATTTGTGTGTTTCTGCAGACTCTGAGCTCATGTATATTGTGTTTCATGGTAATGCATTTAACTTTCACAACAGTCTCACTAGGGAGAGCTTCTGTCATTTTATGTATGTTTTACCAATCGAATAACGTAACGTAAGAAAGGTTGAGAAAATTAGCCAAAGTCATACAACAAGAAACCCACCACGGCTGAACTCAAACCCAGATTTGATTTCAAAGTATTCTCTGTATCACTGCACCTTACTGCTTCACTTTTGTTAGAAGATATATTTTAAAAGTTTAGCTTACATGGTTTACCTCTGTCTACTGTGTGTAAATGCATAGGAAAAGTTGTAGTTCATTACATCTTACTTCTTTGACTAATAAGCTAGAGTTAGCTACTTTTAAGAGTGAAGTATGAGCCAGGATTGGTACCACAGGCCTATAATCCTAGGCTGAGGAAAGAAAACCACAAGTTCAGGGCCTACCTGGGGTACAATGTGAGCTCAAGGCTAGCCTATCTCAAAATCAAAAGTGAATAATAGCTTAGTGGTAGAACATCTGCCTAGCATGAAACCTGATTTGATTCCCACTACCACCACCCCCCTCACCCCCTGAAAAAGAATTGGAGAATAGTTAAACATGAGTAGTAAAATTTCGAAACACTGATACTCACCTACTGTTTAGTGGTTGTTGGTGTTTTTAAATTAATGTTAACAGGGTTTTTGTTATGATTTATAATCTTAGGTGTCATTAATATAATCTCTACTTTTTGTTTTGTTTTGTTTTTTCAAGACAGGGTTTCTCTGTGTAGTCCTGGCTGTCCTGGAACTCTGTAGACCAGGCTGGTCTTGAACTCACAAAGATCCTCCTGCTTCTGCCTCCCGAGTGCTGGGATTAAAGGCATGCGCCACCAATGCCTTTCTAATATAATCTCTACTCTTAAAATAGCATAATAGTTGAAAGTACAGGTACTGGAGTAGAGCTGACTTAATGCTGAGCTTTAATGGCCTCTTTGTCATGTGGATATGATAATGTCTGTCTATAGGGGTGCTGTAAGAACTCTGAGGTAGTACCTCTGTGAAATAAAACTGTCTTTCTTGACTAGAAAATGTCTAACACAAAGAATTCAAGTAGGAGCTACTATGCATAATTTATGTCAGCATTATTATTTGTGGAATGAATGGACAAGAAGATAACTTTGGCCAGGATAGTAGTAGTCTGTGTCTGTAGGCCCACACCTGGGAAACTGAGGAAGGATGGGGAATCCAAAGCCAGCCTGGGTTAGATACATCGTGAGACCCTGTCCTAGAAAAAGAAAAAGAGAAAGAAAGAATATTTGGAGAAAGCTAGATGTTACTTCTTCAAAGAAAATTAGGGAATATTATATTGGTGTATATAATTTAATTATGAAAATGTTAGATGTGTAGTCTTGTTTTTCCCTACTATGCCGCTCATGTTTTTGTTTGTTTTAATATTACATCTTAAGGCAGTTAGTCTTTTGTTTTGTTTTGTGTGTTTTTGTCGAGGGAAAGAATTAAACTTACTTTTATTAAATATTAAAATTTAAAATTTTAATAAGATACTGAAATTTCTTAAGATAATTTTATCTTGTTATTCTAGGGTAAAACTCATTCCCAGCTCTTAATAATTGACCGTGGCTTTGACCCTGTGTCCACTGTCCTGCATGAACTGACCTTTCAGGCAATGGCATACGATCTACTACCAATTGAGAATGATACATACAAGCAAGTATAAATTGAAGGGCTTATAAAGGGCTTGTAGACAGACTGTCTAATGATTTACAATGACAGCAGAAATCTGAAAGACCTGTAATCTGTTTACTCAGAGACCTTTTCTCTCTCTCTCTGTCTCTCCTGTAACTGTACCCCTGACAGTGTTCACTTTGTAAGCTAATGGGCAGCGTGCTTCAGAGCTTTTAAGTGGATTTGCCTCCTTAACTATTCTTCAATAGAGGTGCATTTAAACAAATTGAATTAGAACTTTTCACTTAACATTCAGAGTAAATGTCAGGCCCATTGTTGTATTTCTTTTCTTTTTTAATTTATTTTTATTTTATGTGCATTAATAAGGTGTCGGATCCCCTGTATCTGGAGTTACAGACAGTTGTGAGCTACCATATGGGTCCTGGGAATTGAATCCAGGTCCTCTGGGAGAGCAGCCAGTGCTCTTAACCACTGAGCTGTCTCTCCAGTCCCCCATTATTATATTTCATATATATTATATTCAAAATGATTAGGCTGTGTTTATTCTAAATCATATACCCAAAGGTGTCTTGTCAATGTAATTTATTTTAAAAGACACCAAAACCACAGTACAGCAGCTACTGAGAATAGGCACAACTTTATGATTTTCATGGTTATTGATGTAATCTTACGTAAGGACATTACTTTTAGAGTAAGGGCAAGTAAGTGAAGTGAGAGCTTTTCTTAAGAAGCCATTTTACTTATCAATTAATTTACATACCTACACACACATTAACTGTGCTTTTTGACATCATGATCTCTAAATCCAAACAGTCATTTTTCAGCCAGTTTTAGCTATTTGAAGCCAGGCATACTGCACACACCTATAATTCCAGCATTTGGGAACATTTAGCAGAATCATGAGTTTGATGCTAGCCTAAGCTACATGGCGGGATTCAGCCAGACAGATTTACAATAGTAAAAATGAGTATTAGTTTTATGAAATTTTGTTTATATTAATTTAGTAGAGCTGGGTCCTGTGCTTCAGACCTGTAATTCCAGCTGCTTGGAAGGCTTGGGGAGGCTTAGGCAAAGGATCACAAGTTCAAGACCAGCCTGGGCAATTTAGTAAGACCATAACTCAAAAAAAAAAATTTTTACATTTAAATAAATGAATAAAAAGAGGAGATAGTTGTAGAGCATTTGCCTAGCATGTATGAGGCGCTACATTAAATCCATTGGGCTACAAAAATAATTAATAGTAGTTTATTAAATAAATGCAACCATTGATAATTATGATACTTTGCAGTTTTTCTTAAATTATGTTTTTATTTGCATTCCAGTTAAATCCTGATTTTTTAATTTTATTTTATAACTTCTGCATTGTTTGTATTAGTGTTAGCCAGGAAATTGATAGAGCTATTTTTCTATTGTTTTCAGCAGTTTGGAATTTTCAGAAGTTTTATCTACACCCATTACCTTATAGGTCGCCAAGCTGCATTGTTCAGTAGGTTTTGAAAAAATCTGGTATCGGACAGTGGAGAATTTGGTTTTAGACTTGCCACAAGTTTTAGACAGTACCCACCTAGTATTAACATGTATTCTCTCCAGGTTGCTGGCAAATGAAGGTTTAATTGCTTGAGCGTAAGGAAAATAGTTAATTTTTAAAAAGACAGCCATCGCTTCTTTCACTGAGTCACAAAACTTCAGAGCAAAGACTGATGTGGGAATATAAACTCCCTGCTGTCTTTATATAGGATATGACTTGTTACTAAAAATCATATTGTGGTTTTTGCCGTGTGTGTGTGTGTGTGTGTGTGTGTGTGTGTGTGTGTGCGCGCGCGCGCGCTCGCACATATGCATCTCCATGCATGTTCTGAGGGCAGTTATGCAGAGTGGGTTCTCTTTTTCCTCCATGGATACCAATGGTTGAACCAAAAATCCAACCTGTCAGCCTTTTAGAACTGTGAGTGCTTCATCCACTGAGCCAATCCAGAAATTCTAGATCTGTGTTGCTAAATCCAAAAGTCTGGTCTTACTGATTCCTTCTTAATCCCTGCTTCTTAGGGTTGGAATGTTCTAGTGTTCAGTTTGGGGGCTATTTATATACCTTTGGAAACTCAGTTATTCTCAAGGTTTGTTGACTATTGTCTCACTGAGCCTTCTGCTTTAACTTCAGATTCATATCAACTCTCTAGTGAATATCTTCATTTGAAATGTCTGGTGAGCATCTTAAACTTGTGTGTCCACCTGAGTTGCTGGTGTCCCCCTTCAGAGTGTACAGTGCTCCCACAGTAAATGCAGCTCCTCAGGCCAGAATTTCAGTCATGGCCAATCAAGTTCCAAACACTCAATTCAGTAGTAAATCTTTATGACTGCATTTTAAAGACCTAATTTTCCAACTGGCTTATGACACCAGACTCAGCCTCAAGCTGAGTTGCCACGCTGACCACCACTGGACTGTCTTCCTTCAGACTTCTAACTGGTCTCTAATGCTCTGCTTCTGTCTTTGGGCCCCGCCCTCTTCAGTTTTCCCAGCTCTGGGGAGAAAGAAAGCCTTAGTAAGATCCAGGTCAGTGCATATCCGAACCTTTGAATGGCTTCCCATGTTCCTCAGAGAAAAAGGCAAAGTAGATACAGTAGTCCCCAAGCCTCACATCACCTGTGCCCCCCTTTTAGTTGGTTTTGATTGCTTGCTGTTCATCCTATGTTTAGCACATTAGCGAGACTCACCTCCCTGCTAATCTCTACCACATATATCCTCCCAGGGTCTCACTATGTAGCCCTAGCTGGGCCAGATTTCATTATGTAGATCAGACTGGCCTTGAACTCACAGAGGTCCACCTGTCTCTGCCTCCTGAGTGCTGGATTAAAGGCATGTGCCACCTTGCTTGGCCTTCATCACAAGTTTTGCTGGAAACAGGAATTTCTACTTATTCAGACTGTACTTTCTATCCTGGGGATCTCTTTAAATTCACTCTAACGGACTGTTGTTATCTTAGAGTGTTGCCTTCACACTACTGCTTTGCTTGTAAACCACTTAAATGGCAAAGGTATTACATAAGTAGACACTGGTATTTTGCATGACAAAGGGTTTCCATCCTTAGGTCAGCCTTGTAATTAAACACAGTCATTCTGTCTTTGGGTGTCTTAGACCACACAGCAAGATTGTTTTGTAAATGAAGCCTATAATTTGGGGGTTATAGAAATTACTGCTTTCCTGTAACAGAAATCAACGTGTATTGTCCAGAGTTCAGAACTAAGAAAATTCTGAATAGTCTCTAATTGACATTCCTAAGGACAGTTGAGTTTTCTTACCTCCACAAATGGAAGAGGAGTATCTGCATTTTAAAAAATGAAATTACATTGAGGAAAACAGTTAAAAAGCCCATTTCATGGGTTCTATGAACCTCTTGAATTGCTGCTTACTCCTATAGAACTAGGTAAAGCTATCACAGTATTTTTACAGCCACAGTAGTTTTTCTCATTTTTTCCTATTCTTTAAAGGAGGTAAGATTGTAGGATTGGTTAGGAGTAAAACTGCAGATGATGTTTTTTGTGAATTTTGTACCAAACCTTTCAGCAGGCTAGCTGGAGCGATAGCTCTTAAAGGATGTTTGATGGTTGAACTGTGGGTTGTTTGTAACTGGAGGTTTCTCTCCTGCCTGGCAGTTCTCAAATAACCACTCTGAGGCTTAATATTAATTACAAACTGTTTGGCCTGTTAGCTCAAGCTTATTATTAACTAGCTCTTACAACTCAACCCATTTCTATTCTATATTTTACCATGAGGCCAGTGGCTTATTACCTCACATCTTGCTTGCCTGGTGGCTGCTGGCATCTCCCAGACTCTGCCTCCGATTTCCCTGTATCTGCTTGGATTCCTGCCTGGCTCTATTTTGCTTGGCCTTTGGCCAAATCAGCTTCTTTATTGACCAGTAGTAATAAAACATATTCACAGCATACAGAAGGACATCCCACATCAGTGTTAGCATATCACAATCATTTTAGTCAAGTAAAAGACACAATTGCTTGTATATTCAGCTTTGTTGCTTGATTAGTCTTTGCATTTGAGACAGGGTCTCATGTAACTCAGGCTGGCCATGAACACTATTGTTGGGGTAACCTTGACTCCAGTCCTTCTAATTCTGTCTTCCAAGTGCCACTCCACCTAGCTACTTTTATTTCTAGAGAAGACTGTGAGATGTTGATATTTTGCTTTGTAAGATGATGTTCTGCCAAGACTCTAAACCTAACATCTGAAAGGAAAAAGATGTTTTTCTAAACTTCTAATAGAAGAGTTCTAATCTGCTTTGGGTTTTGACCCCCTCATGTAAAAACTGCAGCTGCACTTTTCAGCTTGTTTTCCAAAATTGTTAAGAAAAATGTTTCTTCTATTTTCTGAGGAAGAGAATCCAAAAATGCTCTTCTCTGTCTATTTAGATACAGAACAGATGGGAAGGACAAGGAGGCAGTTCTGGAAGAAGATGACGACCTGTGGGTCCGGGTCCGGCACCGGCACATCGCACTTGTGTTGGAGTATGTGAGCCCATTCTAACTTTATTCTGTAGTTTTTAGGTACTAAATTATGAAAGTATATCTTAGAACTTTGAAATAGTTTTGTGAAAACTGACTTAGAAATTTTTTTCACATCCGATAGGGAAATTCCAAAACTTATGAAGGAAATTTCATCAACCAAGAAAGCTACAGAGGGGAAGGTAAGAGTCTTTCAAAGTGACAGCAAAGGTGCATTTTTACTTTTAGAGACAGTCTCAGGAGGCTGACCTCCAACTCCCTATGGAGCTGAGGATGACCTTGAACAGTAAGGAGTTCCTGCCTCCATCACTCAGGTGCTAGTATTGCAGCTATGTACTGCGTGTGTGGTGTGTGATATGTATGGTGTGTGTGTGGGGGGGGAGATATGCACGAGTGTGTGGTGTGTATGTGTGTGTGGTGTATGTGCAAGTGTGATGTAGTGGTCAGAGCACAACTTTTAGGAGTTGGTTTCTCTCCTTCCTTTACATGAGCTCCAAGGATCAAACTCAGGTGGTCAGGCTTTTACAGCAAATGGTTTTACCCACTCAGCCATCTTGTCTGCCCTACAAAGGCAGATTATAAACAAAGTTGAAAATGATGAAAGTTACTGTTAACTTTCTATTTTGGTACCATTCTAACACACAGAGAGAAATAGAGAAACATCTATGTACCCATTACCTCATTTTTAAAATTGGTAACATTTTTATCTGTTACTGCCATTAAAATTTAGTTTATGAAGGGACCAGCTCCCCTTTCGGCAGCCATAATGGCCGAGCACGTGCTTGTTTGACCTTGTCCTAGACACTAGAAAGTCAGATGCCTGCCTCGTGACAAGGAACCAATCAGAAGTTAGCTGGTGGCGCTATGCTTTACGACCCTGGGTGTGCTTTGTGGACAAGCGCACAGCAATGACGAACAGAGCATAGCAACCACCCTGGGAGGGCCTATGGGCCATAACAACCAGTTGGCCAATCAACACAGGGCAAGCCCTCCAAACTTGGAGGCACACCAATCGTGAGCCTCTGCGTATCCCTAGACACTCCTCTTATGCTGCCCTACAAGATTTGTCTCTGCAGCCGTTCGAGCTGTCTTTGCTAGCCATCCGCCATGGCGGGTGTATGAAAGACCTGAGCTAACATGGGGGTAGCTCGTTAAAAAAAACAATAAAGCCTCATGCAGTTTGCAGCAAAAAAAAAAAAAAAAAAAAAAAAAAAATTTAGTTTATGAAGGCTATTTAGTCAATTTCATCAGTGCATAATAATTGAGGGGTTTTGTTTTGTAAGGCTCTCGCTATGTTGCCCTTGCTGGCTTGTAACAAGGCTGGCCATGAACTCAGAGAGCTCAGTCTGATCCCAAATGCTGAGATTAAAGTCCTGTGCCACCCTGTCTGTCCAGATAGTTGAGGTTTCTAGTATTGAAGTATATATAATATATAAGTTGAGTACACAAATCTTAATGTGTACTAGCTTGTTTTATCTTACATGCACACATTCACATGTTATTTTCAGCCTAATATTAGTGCACATTTTCTTTTTCTAAACAGTGTTGTTCTAAACAGCATTAGTTTTAAAATTTTGTTTTGTTAACATATAAAATATAGGTGATTTTGTAAATTTTTACTATGGATCCAGTGATCCTAATCAGCTTATTTTTTCAATCCTAATACTTTAAAGATTAGATTGTTTTTTTTGTTTTTTGTGTTTTTTTTTTTTTTTTTTTTTTTTTTTTTTTTTTAAGACAAGGTTTCTCAGAGTAGCCCTGGCTGTCCTGGAGATCACTCTGTAAACTAGGCTGGCTTCAGACTCACAGAGATCCACCTTTCTCTGCTTCCTGAGTGTCCCAAGTGCTGGGATTAAAAGTGTACACCACCATGTCTGGCTTCTTTCTCCTTTTTTCTATTAACGTAATGAATTATATTCACTGTCTTTATAAAATGAACTCCACTTGGTCATGATGCCTTATTCTGAGTATTGGTGATTCTGTTTGCTGAGCACTTGTTTCCTATCTACGAGAAATAGTTCCTATAACATGACTACTCTTCTGTAACGTTCTAGTCTCATTTCCATATAAAAATTATATTAATCTTATGGAATGAGTTGTAACTCTCTCATTTTATCCTGAAAGTATTTGTGTAACTTAGTTGTTCTATTGTGATCTAAATTCACCATTCAGGATGGTGTATCCTTCACAAAGAATTTTTTAGTTACAGTTAATATAAGCTCTTTATGAAATATATATATGTATATACATACATGCATACATGTATATACATATAAATGTGTATGTGTAGCCGGGCGTTGGTGGCACACGCCTTTAATCCCAGCACTTGGGAGACAGAGGCAGGTGGATCTCTGTGAGTTCGAGGCCAGCCTGGTCTCCAGAGCAAGTGCCAGGATAGGCTCCAAAGCTACACAGAGAAACCCTGTCTCAAAAAACCAAAAAAAAAAAAAAAAAAAATAGAAAGTGTATATGTATGTGTGTATGTATATATATATATGTATATATATATATACATATATCACACAGTGTATGTGTGCCTCTACCAAATTTTTACTTCTGTCAGTTTTGAGAAACTGTTTTTCAAAGAATTTGTCTACTATACTTAACTTTTGAACTATTTTCTTAGTCTTTTGGTATGAATAGACTCTGTGCTGATATTATATTTATTTATCTTGATATTATTAATTTGTTTTTCTCATATAATTTTAATGCTCCTACATTTAATATTTTTAATATTTCAAAGAGCCATGGATATTGCTTAGTGGTCGAATACCTGTCTAACATTAATGATTCCCTGGATTTAATCCCTAGTAATGCAAATATATCTATTTTTGGCCTTGTGGATTTTTCTGTACTGTTATTGTGTATATGGTGTGTGTGCTGTGCATGAGTACCCTGGTGCACATGTAGAGGCCAGAAGACACCTTAGTAAAGTCACTCCTCTCCTTCTATCTTCGTGTAGGTTCTGGGGATCAAGCACAGATAATCAAGCCTTCATGGCCAGCAGTTTACCTGCTGAGCCATCTTGCTGACTCTGTTATAACAGCCTATAACAGATTTAGTTTATTTGTGTGCAGTCTTAATGTCCTTCAACTTTATTTTTTAGCTTCTTGATTTGGACATTTAGAGTATTAATTTTTAACTTCTTTCCTACTGTGTCTATTTAGAGTTATTTCCTTCTCAGCATTAGCTAAACCCCAGGGGATTTGGAATATGTTTTTTCTTCCTCTTTTGTTTTTGGTTTTGGTTATTTGAGATGTGATCTTGTGTCTGGAGTGTTTGCTTAAATCTTTTTGTTTCATCTACAACCATGTCTTAACACTCAGACTCTTCTGAAATCTCTATCTTAACTAGCTAGTTAGTTTTCTCTGCCAGACCTTTGAGTGCAGAGTAGGGGCCTAAGGACAACCACTGCACATGTGTTTGTCTTATGTTCTGACTGGTTCCTTTCTCTTTTTAACTCTGAGCTTCTGAAACCTTCCTAGGTTGCCCTGAAGTAAACATCCCTGGGGGACAGGCAGGCTGAGCTCAGTGACCACCTGCTCTGCTTTCTCCATCTCATTGGTTGTCCATTGCCCAGAAAGAACTGTTTTAACTGTCCACAGGGAAGAGAGTGATAGAGTCAGAAGCCCCTAATGTTCTCTTAAAACTTAGCACATTTATTAAATTAGCTGAGTTTATTAGGATTGGCAACTATAATGTGGAATAACTGAGTCGTGGGTTTGCTTAATTTTTGTTTGTCTTTTGTTGTGTTTGTTTGTTTGTTTTTCCTAGACGTCACTTAGTGCTCTTACCCAGCTGATGAAGAAGATGCCCCACTTCCGAAAACAAATGACAAAGGTGAGCAGTGGCCTTTGACTGTTTGCCTGCTCCTGAGGTTGGGCTTAGCAGTGTCCCTGGAATAGTTGCTGGTAGTTGTCTTCCCAACCATTACTGTAGATCTGAGAAATGACCAAACTAAACAAACTAGCCACTGACTTTTCTATCTATACCATCTGTATTTTTAAACCCTTTAAAACAAATTGTCTTAAACAGCTAAACAGAATAATTTTAATATTTCTCAACCTCACAGAAAAATTTAGTGCGACATTATCTAGTGGCTGTTTTATTTGTTTTCAGTGCTGGGGACCAACCCATACATTTCCTTAAACTAATTGTTACAAATTAGATTTAAAATCATTTAAATCCACATAAATCACTTTCTTTCCATTCTTTTCCCTCTATCCCTCGCTCTCTCCTTCCAGCCATCTGTCCATTTATCCATCAGTCCATCTATCTTTGGTAGGGCTGAGTTAAGCTTATTCTAGTACACACTGAACTGGAAGTCACTCTGACCCAGGCTTGTGTCAAACAGTGGAAATCCTCTGACCTCATCCCTGAGACTGCTGGTACTATAGGTGTGAGCCACAGCCACAGCCATAGCCTAGCCCAGCCTTTCCTAGAAATAACTACCCTTTCACATTTGTATGATGTTGTATCCTATTTAAGAACCAGTAATATAAAAGAAACCTTTTGTTGTTGTTCTTTGGGAGTTGACTTTTTTTTTTCCTTATCCAAATTTTCATTACTCTTTGGTTCCACACAGATTCAGCACTGCGCTCTGTTTTTGCTGTCTGTTGATGACCCCTTCGGTTACACTGGTTCTGGTTCCCTTCTCTTTATTGCATGTTTCTTTCTGGCACTTAAACCCATCATAAAACTTTAATATTGGGGCTGGATAGAAGGCTCAGAGTTAAGAGCACTGGCTGTTCTTCCAGAGGATCCAGGTTCAGATCCCAGTGTCCACATGGTGGCTCACAGTCGTTTGTAACTCCAGTTCCACAGGATCTAATGCCCTCTTCTGGCCTCTGGGCACCAAGCACACATGCAACTGTCACACAGACACACATGTAAGCATACACCCACAGACATAATTTTTTTTTAAAGTTAAATATTATCAGTTACACAAAAAGTAATTAAAGTGTTGTAAATAATCACTTTTCTGCTTTTCAGCAAGTTGTTCATCTTAACTTAGCTGAAGATTGCATGAATAAATTTAAGCTGAATATTGAGAAGCTCTGCAAAACTGAGCAGGTATGTACAGAGCCAGAAACACCCATTTCTGCAATAGACTCCAGAATGACTTTGTAAGCTAGCATGTAACTGTTTCATGCTAGCTCCACACAATCATAGATTCTAAGAAGGAGACTAACCTAGGCAGTGTCCTGCTTCCTTCCTCAGCTTTGTGTTTCTATAATAAATACCTGACACGATAAACTTAAAATGAGAAAGGGCTTATTTTGGCTCATGGTTTTGGTTGTGTTTGGTTTTGGTGCTGGAGCGCATTTGGTTGAGAATACTTGAGATTTACAGTTTTATGATGAGTTAGCTTCACTGCTTTTAGGGGGGCACATCATAGCAGGGATGTCTGGTAGAAGGAAACTGAGATAGAGGAAAGGACAGCACTCCACTGTCCCCTCACAGGCACAACCCAAAGACTGGAAGACATCCTCTGGCTCCTACTCTTAGTTCCCTCTATCTCTCAAAAGCACCAAAGGACAAAACCTTATCACATGACCCTTTGGGGCCAGTCATTCCAGATCCAAACCGTAGACCCGCCGACATTGACAGCTGGGCCTTTATACTTTGTGGTCTTGTGTGTGGGTTGTGCAGTGCTTTAAATTATTGGAGCATCTTTTCAAGGTTTTCTCAGGGTGCAATGCAAGAGCACTGTCCTACAGAACTCTACACAGCATGTTTTTGTATGTACACACACACACACACACACACACACACAATTCCTCAACTGTTTATCGAATATATGAATATCACATTAACAGAAATTGAATGCAAGTTACATGCACTATTAACTATTCTGGTAGCCTCATTACAAAGGTAAAAAGTACAATTAATTTTGGTAGTAAATTTGACCTAACCCAATATATTCACACTATTGTTCCAACATGTAATTAATATAAAACCTGTTAATGGGATATTTTCTATTCTGTCACAAGTCCTCAGAAATCTGTTGTTTTGCCCCCAGAGTGCATCCTAATCAGGTCGAGCACATACCCTCATTTGTAGTGGCTACCACAATGGCAGCTCTGGTTTGCAAGACTTCCTTTCCCTTGCATTTGCTTTATGACCTTTTTATTTTGTGCAGTGAATAGTTTGCAGCTAACAGTCACATTTCCTGTGAAATATCAGTGTTCCACCAAAATTTGACAATTTACTAATAGATACTTTTTAACAGAAAAGTTAAGTTTGGATTGTAGAGCACTGTCTGCATTTTACTGTCATTAAGGACCTGGCACTTGGAACAGATGCGGAAGGACAGCGGGTGAAGGACTCCATGCTGGTGCTCCTCCCGGTCCTGCTCAACAAAAACCATGACAACTGCGACAAAATCCGAGCAGTCCTGCTCTATATCTTCGGGATTAATGGTAATGGAAAGCCTACTCGTTTCTGCGACTGTGTTAAAGTAGTAACTCTGAAGTCACTGAAGTTCTCTTTACATTTGGTTATTACATATTATTTATGTGTGTGGTGGAGAACGTACATGTGACTAGAGGTCATTTTATGTCCAGATTTTAGCACCCACAAACATTGACCAGTACCCATGTGGTTTCTACTCTGTGGTCATACAGTTTGGGTACATTTTGAGATTCTGTTTTCTCCTTCCACTGTGTGGGTTCCAGGGACCAAACCCAGATTGTCAGTCTTAGCACTGAGCCATCTCCCCAGCCCCCCAAGTGACATTTTAATAAATAGCTTGTTACCAAAAGGGAGTCAGAAAACCCAAAAGTAAATGCTAGTTAAGGTGACTAAAAGAAAATAGGAAGCTGAGAGAAGACTAGAGGGAATATAAGTTTGTTATATTTTTTTTTTTAGCTTTAGTACTCATATTAATTACTTCAAACCTAGAATTAGCTACAGTAGCAGTTATCTGACTGGCACTCCTGCTTTTACTTCCTTAAGGAACAACTGAAGAAAATTTGGACAGACTGATCCACAATGTAAAGATAGAAGATGATAGTGACATGATTCGTAACTGGAGTCACCTTGGTGTCCCCATTGTTCCTCCAGTAAGGAAGTGTGTGTGTGTCAGTGTCTGTGTCTGTGTGTCTGATGTGTGTGTCTGTGTGTCTGGTATATGTTTGTGTGTGTGTGTGTGTGTGTGTCGGTGTCTGTGGTGTTTGTGTCTGTGGTGTGTGTCTGTGGTGTCTTGTCTATGTGTGTGTGTCAGTGTCTCTGTGTGTGTGTGTCGGTGTCGGTGTCTGTGTGTGTCTGTGGTGTGTGTGTCTGTGGTGTATGTCTGTGTGTCTGTGGTGTGTGTGTCTGTGGTGTATGTCTGTGTGTCTGTGGTGTGTGTGTCTGTGGTATATGTCTGTGTGTGTGTGTGTGTGTGTGTGTGTGTCAGCGTCTATGTGTGTCTGTGGTGTGTGTGTGTGCGTGTCTGGTATATGTCTGTGGTGTGTGTGTGTGCGGGGGTGTTGGGTGGGCTGTGTGTGTGTGTGGGGGGGTGTGGGGGGGGGGGGGGGGGGGGGGGTGTGTGGGGGGTGTGTGTGTGTGTGTGTGTGTGTGTGTGTGTTGGTGTCTGTGTGTGTCTGTGGTATCTGTGTCTGTGTGTGTGTCAGTGTCTGTGGTGTGTTTGTCTGTGGTGTATCTGTGTGTGTCTGTGTCGGCGTCTATGTGTGTCTGTGGTGTGTGTGTGTGTGTGGTGTGTGTGTGTCAGTGTCTGACTCTGTGGTGTGTGCATGCATTAACTACTTTTGGAGTCACAATCACTGCCTTTGCACCATGAGGTGCTTGCATTAACTACTTTTGTTTATGGGAATCTTATAGACATTCTTGACTTCATCTTACAGAATTTGATTATTAAGTAAACAATTAGGGTTTGTGTTTTTATTTTATTTTCATTTTCTGAAACTAGGTCTCATGTAGTCCAGGCTGACCTCAAACTTACTATATAATGAAGGATAACCTTGAACTCCTGTCTCTACCTTTCAAGTGATAGTTTACAGTTGTGCGCTACTACACCCAGTGTATGGTATGTGTGGCTGGGAATTACTAGGCAAGTACTCTTACCACCTGAGCTACATACCACCTAATATTTTGCTTTCATAGGTAATCTGAATAAATAGTATTTTCTAGTGAATTTGTATTTTCAGCTTCTATTATAATTTGCTACTTATACTTTGCTCTTTATTGATTCATTTGTACCAATGGTTGAATTTTACATCCAACCATTTATACAGCACAGAAAAAAATTACAGTCTCTGAAAATAATTTAGGCCCAGGATGGGGATATATCTTGGTGGTATAGCACTCACCTAGTATGTTTGAGGTTCTTGGTTCAATTCCCAATATTACAAATAAATAATGAATATTTTGAGGCTCAAAGTAAAACTTGAAAGAACTCTATTTAAAACCTCACTCTTTACCACCAAGTTTTATAAGACTTCTATGTAAATTCATACTTTCTGACACTTACAAATTTAGTGCCAAGGTACAAATACTGTTCAGTGACCCAGCATGTGCCAACCTGTTGTGATTTCTCTCTCTCTCTTTTTTATTTAAGTAAGCAGTTAAAGTTATGCAATGTAGATATGTTGGCAATTAACCTTGTTAGGAAATGTAATTTATACTACTGAATGAAATGATTTGTCCCTTTAATTCTTTTAGTCCCAACAAGCCAAGCCGGTGAGAAAAGACCGCTCTGCAGAAGAGACCTTCCAGCTCTCCCGGTGGACACCCTTTATCAAAGACATCATGGAGGTAAAATCACAGCCTCCCAGTAATTGTGAGCACCATCTCTGTCTACTCCTTCCTCTTCATCATCTGTCAGTGTAAGCACAGCTCCCATGCACAAGTTTCTGGAGTGCATGGAGGGACCACAAAAGAAAGCTTTTATCTAGTGGGATTTTATAGGCAGAGAAGCTTTTGAAGTCTTAATGATCTCAGAAAAGTTCACCACTATTTAGGAGCATGCACATGCTTCAGGGAAAACACTGCTATTCTTTTGAATAACTATGTAACATTAATTTGAATGACACTTAACACAATGACATATATGTATATGCCTTAGTAAAAAGTTTAGTCTGGTGGTAGAGGTGCTCACCTTTAATCCCAGCACCGCGAGGCAGAGGCAGGGGGGATCTCTGAGTTCAAGGCCAGCCTGGTCTATAGAGCGAGCTGCAGGACAGCCAGGGCTGTTACACAGAGAAACCCTGTCCAAAAAAAAAAAAAAAAAAAAAAAAGTTAACAAAAAGTATGTGATTAAACTGCTTATTGTTAGAGTCATCAGGGAAATATACTTTTAGTGCTGTTTGCTCTTAGAAAATAATTTTAATTTATAGGAATTATAAACTAATTTTAAAATTGCCTTAGGAACTCAATAAAAAAACATTTTTTCAGTTTTCCTTTGACTAATTATAGATCTGATTTTACTTTCCTTTGGGTGCTAATGCTTTTACTATTTTTCTTCTTTTCAAAACTAATTTTACATCAGTTGTAAATGCATGAACACATCCATAAAACATAATACGATTAGACTTTGTCTTTTACAATGTAAGTTCCTCTCACCCAACAATGATTATGCAGAAATAGTTTTTCTTAACTGGTTATTTTTGAAATGAAAATAAACTTGTTCAAACTCTTTAACAAGGTTTTTTCATGCTAAATCCAAAAACTACACATTGGATGTGTCCCTGTCTGAGACTTTTAGGGTTTCTCCTAACTTAAAACATGATTTCCTCCTCTCCAACAGTCTTATTAAAATCCTCTTGAACTGTTCTGTCCTCCTGTGTCCATTTTCAATGCCTTTGTGCTATCACCTGCAAAGCAGATTGTACTGACTATCTAGTAAGTGTACCCATAATAAGTTTAAAATATGAGCATGAGCTTGTTGATTGACCAAATATATATTATTGTATTAATAAAGCATTCATAATCTATATAACATAAACATATACATAAGTATGTCATAAAATATAGCACTGAGAAAAGGGAGAAGTTTTTTGGTTTTGTTTATGTTTTTTTTTTTAAACCAGTGAACAGGAAAACATTACACAATCCTTGGACTGTCTTCAGTGTCTCAGGGTTAGATATGTGCATTCTGTTTCAGAGGCACTGCTATGAAGGACAGTGGCCTGGGTGCCATTTAGAGACCTCTAGCATCCCTAGAGCTGAAAGGTTCTCATACCATTGCAGACCCTCCAATAAAGAAAGGCAGATCTGAAGTACGTGTTGGTTTAATATGTGAGTAAATTAGTACATTCATTTTTAAATGTATTTTTATTCATTTAATTATGCGTGTATATGTTTGGGTATGTGCACATGAGTACAGGTGCCCATGGAAGCCAGAGGCATTGGATCCCTGGGAGCTAGAGTTACAGGCAGTGTAAGCTGTCTGATGTGGGTACTGGGAACTGAGTTTTAGTCTTCCAGAAGAGCAGTAAGTGCACTTAGCCACTAAGCCATCTCTCCGGCCCGAGTATATGGATTTTTACTGCAAGTAAGATTTATGGGTATAAAGAAGGGCTATGCATCTTAAATGTTCATTAGAGCTGCATACAAAACAAATTTCTAAATTACATTTGCTTTGATGGTGTTAATGATTTTCTTCCCTAGGATGCCATTGATAATAGATTAGATTCCAAAGAATGGCCATACTGTTCCCGGTGCCCGGCAGTGTGGAATGGCTCTGGAGCTGTGAGGTAAACTATAAACAAAGTCACTAAAATGTTTATGCTAGGATACTATACACCAGTAACTGAAAATGTTGCACAAGTGTTCTCTTTGAAGCACATAGTAATGGAAAAGGTAGTTTTTCTTCAATTATAACCTAATGAAATGAATTTAGGAAAGCATACTTCATAATACAGAATACTCTCAGAAAACTGTCACCTCCCCGCTCAGCTCCCTTCCTACCTCCCTTCCAATTTGTGCTCTGATTTATTCTCCGATTTTTCTCTCATCTGAGTTAATCATTTATGCATATGTGTATACTTTTTTCTAACTATATTTCTACCCTGTGTGATGTATTGAATTGTGCCTTGTAGGGTTTGTTTTAATTCTGTATATGACTGCACAAATGACACAGCACATGTACAGAGGTTCAGAAGACAACTATAGGAAACTGTTCTCTCCCTCCTCCATGTGGGTCCTGAGAATTGAACTCAGGCCGTCAGGCTTGGCGGCAAGCAAGCCCCTTTACCTAAGAAGCCATCTCATGACCCATGTAGGTCTTCTCTTAATATTTGACTTCTGTCAATTTAACTATGTTTGTCAACATGCAGGCCTCTCATGTTTGTTCTACCTGAGGGTTTGTTGTGTTTCTTTCATGTTCATCAAATTTGGGGTTTTTTAAGTATTCTATTTTTGAGTTGTTGTTTCCTGGTCCCTTTCTCCTGAAATCTGAAGATCCGGCATTTTCCTGGAGTCACTGGAGCTCTGCTTTCCCCGTTCTTTGCTCTTCAGTTGTCTCAGACCTGTTTACCTTGAGTTCCTTTGAGCTCTCAAGCGCATCGGCTGACTAGATTTCATTGTCTACATTGCTGTTGGTTCTTTGTAGTTCCCATTTCTGGCTTTTGTTTTGTTAGTCTGTGGTGCTGAAGGTAAAACCTAGGACTAGGCAAGCACATATTCTCTAAGTCACTGTCAGCTCTCTTGTCATTTCTGCTGAGACTGTATTGGTTAACTTGACATTTTTAAAATCTTATATTCTGACAGATACACATCTGATGTAGATAATCTGCTTTGAAGGCTTTGCTTAGTACACCCTCTGCTCTTACTAAACTTACTTTCTACAAAGTACTGTTATAGTGGAATCCCAGCAGTGGCTGTCCTAGTACCATGCTAGGTCCTATCTCTCTCCCTTCTTGTCCTCAGATCTCACTCTTGGCAGGCTATTCCCCTGATTTCCTAAAAATTTCAACAAATAGACTTTCAGGGATGATATAAAATAAAAGGGGGCTGGAAGGATGGCTCAGAGATTAAGAACATTGGCTACTCTTCCAGAGGATCCAGATTCAATTCCCAGCACCCACATGGCAGCTCACAACTGTCACTAACTCCAATTCCACAGGGTTCAGCACTCTACTCTGGCCTTCATAGGCACTGCATACACATGGTGCACAGACTTAGATGTAGGCAAAACATCCCCCCATACAAAATGAAAATTAAAAATATTTTAAACATTATATTTAAACATATATTTAAACATAAAATAACATTAGCTTTATAAGTAAAAATGCTGAACTAGACTGAGTGGTTTTTATTTTAGTTTTTGGAAATAAGGCTTTATGTATTTATATATATATATCCATCCATCCATCTCCTAGGCCAGCTTTAAACTCTTTGTCCTACTGTCTCATCCTCCAAATAAAACTGTAAGTGATTTATTCAGATTGGAATCTGAAGTGGGGCTGCGCTGCCTTTGTCTATGGTGAAATTGTGCCGTGATTACATACTTCATTAAGATCAAGACAGGTGGTTCCAAGGGGGAGTTTGATTGAGTCTATATACAGCGTGACCTTAGGAATGCTTATAACATGTTTGCCTTACTTTTTACTTTCTAGTGCTCGCCAGAAACCCAGAGCTAACTATTTAGAGCTGGACCGGAAAAATGGATCAAGACTGATTATTTTCGTAATTGGAGGAATTACATACTCTGAGATGCGTTGTGCTTATGAAGTTTCTCAGGCACATAAATCCTGTGAGGTTATTATTGGTAAGAATTTCACCTTCTCTGTTTCTTAAATGTTCAAGGAAAACTATATTATTGTGTACAGAAAAAGAATTAATCATGAAACATGCTTTGTAAAATTTCTGGGTTTTTTTCCTAGTTGGTATTTTGATAATTTGATTTTAAAATATTCTGATTTTTAGGGCCTTGATCTTGCTCCTTTAAAACTATGTCTCCTGGTATTATCTGCTGTGCTCATTGAATGATTTTGTGATACATTAAAACATTTTTACCTTAGTAGTATTTGTTTTCATGTGTATGTATCTAACATTGCTGAGGCCTGTGTGGAACTGACTTTTAAAATACAAGCCTGGGCTAGCAGGCTCAGTGGGTAAAAAATGCTTGCCAAGCAAGTCTGACAGCCTCCAGTCCCAGAGCCCATGATGGCAGGAGAGAGCACTCTCCTGAGAGGCGTCCTCTGGCCTTCATGCTTCGCCATGGTGTACATGTATATAGTAAAGGAAATTAGAATTTTTTTTCAGTGAAGCCACTGCTAGGTAAAGTCTCCTAACCTAGAGAGCTGCAGGAGCTGTGTGACAGGCTTTGAGTCACAGCACTGCTTAGAGATTCTCTGCTTACAAGTAACAACTGCTGCAGTTCTGTTACGAGGATAGGGAAAATTCCCCGTTTTTCTATTTACACATACCACTCTATAGTGCAAGTCAGACAGAACCCTAGTGAAGGCTGTGTTTCTGAAGAGTTACTGAGCATGCTTAGTGACAAGGGTTGATAGGACTTTTGTAACAATGCTGGAGAAGTGTTGTTCCAGTGCGCCAAACATTGTGTGTGTGAAGGACAAGGTTTTAAGCCAAAGACATTTAATTCTGAAAATTTATAATTTCTTCCACCAGGTTCCACACATATTTTAACACCCAGAAAACTGCTGGATGATATAAAGATGCTGAATAAGTCAAAGGATAAAGTTTCCTTTCTTAAGGAAGAGTAGCTTTTTTATTGTTGTTTGGAGGTTTTTGTTAATATGTTCAACTAAAACAGAAGATGTTGCTGTCATAACTTAAACAGTGTAAATATTTTATGGAGTATTGTGCTTTTCAAGTGTACTTCTTAAGGGACTTTATGGATTTATTGGATTTGTCATTTCTAATAATTTAAATACTCTTGCTGCTTTGACTAAGATATGACATTAAAGTGCTTTCTAATCAGGAAGTTTTCACCTTTGGAGCAGAATCTGTTAGAGATATGGGTGGTTTTTACAGCCACCTATATAAATACTAATTACTCACTGGATACTTAGGCTGAAATACAGTGTTTGGGGGCAAAATGATTTTGAATGAAGAGATTATAAAAGTAAAAACTGTAAATGTATGTATGATAGAATTATTTCTTATAAGTGCAGTTTCTTAAAACTGAAAGTCAAAAATTTTATGTATAAAATAATCCCAATTATTAATATGGTTTTACTGTGTATATTACCTGCAAGATACTTCTACAGAACACAGTTTTATATGTTTGAGATCATGTCTACTCAAGTTAGAAACTAAAAATAATCATGAACATTCTAAGAAAATAAATATATATTATCAAATTTTTCTGAGTTTTTAATTTCTTTTTTGACTTTGAATTGGAGCCATAAAGAAGAAAAAAAGCCTGTAAGTTCCCATCAGTTCAGTACCGAATGGTTTTCAAAACCAGTGTGAGGCTTGGTGATATAGATGGGTCTGCAGGTGTGTGTGAGAGGCTTGGCGATACAGATGGGTCTGCAGGTGTGTGTGTGTGTGAGGCTTGGCGATACAGATGGGTCTGCTGGTGTGTGTGTGTGTGTGTGTGAGGCTTGTCGATACAGATGGGTCTGCAGGTGTGTGTGTGTGTGTGTGTGTGTGTGAGGCTTGGCGATACAGATGGGTCTGCAGGTGTGTGTGTGAGGCTTGGTGATACAGATGGGTCTGCAGGTGTGTGTGTGTTCCTGTAGGCCATGGTTTTAAATACTCCTTCCCTAGTTACTGGTGCCATTTTGGGAAGCTAAGGAGCCTCTAAGAGGAGGGACCAAGCTGTCAGGAACAGGCTGTTGGGAATTTGGGCCTTTGAAGCTGATCCTTGGTCTCTCCCGCTGTTCACTCTGCTTCCTGGGTGACCATGGCTAGAACAGCCTCTGCCACACTCCTCCCACCATAAGCTGATCCACCATTCCTCCAGGCTGTGATGCTCTGAGAGTCTCAGAAAGCATGAACCAAAACAATAACTTCCTCCTTGGGTTGTTTCTGTCAAGTACTTTAGTCATGGCACTGCAAAACATAACACAAATAATTTGATCAAAAATGTTTTTTTCAGTAAATTGAGTTTGATGATCTGATTGGCTTTTGTGGTTTTATGAATTGGGTGGCATTAAAAGCATAAAAAAGCTAAGTGGAGCAAGTGAGCCTTATAGTCAGAAAGCAAGGCACAAAAAGCCGCTGGACCTTTCATAGCTGGTAACTGTGTCCCTTGCAAAGGGTAATGAAGAGATTTCTTTGTCATGCTAGCACAGACTAAAGACCCCTGTTCTGACCAATGACAGTAAATCCCCTGTTTTAAAAAATAATAACAACTAGCCAGTTTTGTTTTGTTTACAACTAGCCAGTTTTAAAGTTCAGTTTGACTGCTTAGCACTTAGCATGAGTAGCTTCTTTCTAGTTTGGTCTGTTGAAGTCTACTATAGAAGCTTGGTTAAAGAAAAGACCGATCCTCACTCTGCTTTTTTAAACAAGGCTTGTTGTAGAGCCCTAGCTAGCAGGAAACTTACTGTGTCCATCAGGCTGGCCTGGAACATGAACAGTCTGCCTTCCCCTGCCTTCTGAGTGCTGTGATTACAGGTGCGCCCCATCACACCTGGTTACCTCCCATTTTGATAATACACGCTTTATGCTCCCTTCCCTCTCTCAAGCTACTGCCATGGGTTTTTGCTGTCCTCTTGAAGTGCCTCCACCTGGACTAAACTTAGCCACAAAGTCAGAGGTACCTTCGGGCCAGCCTCTGTATTATCCCTAGGTACCCTGAGCCTAGTCTCAAAGCTAGAAATAGCTGCTCTGAGCTAGACAAATAACAGCTGCCTTGGTTGGTATGAAAAGCTCAAGTGAGGTGTCCAGGCCTTCTCAGAGCTGCAGAGCCAAGCTGGGGGTTGGGAAACCTATCGTTAAATGTTTAGATGATGGAGTTTGAGGGCTGGGGGGAGGGCAATGATCTGTCACTATGAAGAAGGAACTTAAAGGCCTCAAGATGGCTAAGAGGGTAGAGATGCTTGCCTTGCAAGCCTGATGACTGGGTTCAATTCCCAGAACCCATGTAAAGGTGGATGAAGAAAACCAACTCCACAGAGTCATCCTCTGGCCTTCACGTGTGTGCTGTAGTACAGGTGCACCAGCATACTCGCGCACGAGCGCGTGTGCACACACACACACACACACACACACACACACACACACACACACACACACACACACACACACACACACACACACACACACACACACACACAACAACAACAACAAACAACAACAATAAAATAAATAACTCAAAAGCTTTCCTGGTACTCTGTGGGGAATGAAACAAATTTTTATAAGCCATGTGAAGCTATTCTTGGTTGTCAACTTGACTACATCTGAAATTAACTGAAGTTCAAGCATCTGGGTACACCTGTGGGCTTGTTTTTTTTTTTTTTATTTTTTTTCCTTATAAATCATTTGAAGTCTAGATCCACTTTTAGTCTGGATCCTTTGAAGTGGGAAGAGCCACCTTGAGTCAGAGTCACACCTTCTACTGGCAGCCCATAGTAAGGACATGGAAGAAGGAAGCTCTCTCATTTTGATGCTTGCTCTAGGTCTCACTGGCAAGTCCTTTCCTTCACTGGTATTTGAGCCTACTTCTTTGGGGTTCCAGTGAATACTGAAGACCAGCTGAGACATCCAGCCTCATCCAGACTGAGCAACTACTAGGTTCTTGGACCTTCTATTGATAGACAGCCATTGTTGGACTAGGTGGATCCCAGCCTGTAAACCATTCTAATAAATTCACCATATGTATATATGTGTGTATGTGTATATATATATACATACATATTTGGGATATATATACATACATATTATATGTATGTATATCCATTTGTTAAGTTCTGTTTCTCTAGATAACCCTGACTAATACAAGCCCTGATAATCAGTTTTAATGAGTTGTCTTCTAAAATGTTATTTAGGTCTGTCACTTTATATATTCTTGAGTTCAAGAGATCATTAAACAACCATACTATAAACAACTATATCATAACCATAGCTCTGGTTAGTTTTTGTCACCTTGACACCAATTAGAGTCACCTGGAAAGAGGGACCTCAGTTGAGAAATTACCTCCAGGTTGATCCATGGACTTGTCTGTGGAGCATTTTTGTGATGAATGGTTGATGTGGGATGGCCTAGCCCACTGTGAGTGATGCCACCCCTGGACAGGTTGTCCAGTGTTGCATAAGAAAGCAAACCAGTAAGCAGTGTTGCTCTGAAGTTCCTGCCTCTGCCCCCGCTCTGACTAACCTCTAACACTATGATTGAGAAGTGTAAGCCAAATAAATGATCCACCCACCCTACCTGAAAGTTGTTTGGGGACATAATGTTTTGTCACGGCAACAGAAAGCAAACTAATAAATAACACAAGAGACCCACACAGAACAGTAAAGGAAGGGAAGTAGAAATTCCTTCTTCTCCCAAACTCAGTTTTATTTACTTGTGTTTCCTCATTGCTGACAGAATACCTGTCTAAAGCAACTCAAGGAAGGAAGGGTTTATGTTGTTGTTCAAAGTTTGAGGATTCAGCTATCATGGTGAGGAAGTATGCCAGGAGCGTGAGGCATCGGTCATGTTGCAGCCACAGTCAGGAACAGAGAGTGATGAACACGGATGCTCCACACACTGCCTCCCATTTATCCAGTGCAGGACTCTAGCCCATGGAGGGTACCGTTCAGGGTGGGTCTTCCCACCTCAATTAAACTCTCAAGAAATGTTCTTATGGGCATCCCCTGAAGTTGTTTCTTAAGCAATTCCAAGTTCTATTGGTTAACAATCAAGATTAACTATCATAAGCCTGTCCCTTGTCAACCTGACACTCAAACACATTGTTTTAAATCAGAACATTCCTGGACCCCCAGGTATCATGTTCATCTCGTACAAAATGCATTTAGTCCATGCCTCAAAGTCCTGCCCCAGTGTCATTCCGTGGTGAAGCAGAGGGGACTTTCTGCCATGTCAGCTTAGGTTGACTGGGCTTCTCTGAGATTGAAAGCAATCTCTTTTAACTGTAAGCCCTATAAACTTCGGGTATACAGTGGGGTAGAGTAAACATTGTCCCAAAAAAGAGGAATGGGGACATGATAAGTGTAACAGTCATCTTCTATTGTAACAGGTCCCCAAACCTTATCACAATTGACACCATGTTAGAGACGCCATTCTGACCTCAAAACCCAGCACCAGCCAAACAGGAACAAAGACCCAGTCCATCAGAGACCTGGACCATAGTTCCAGGACCCAGGAAAGTCCCCAGATGTACTAATCTTGCTATTGCTTCCTTAGTTCTGCTTCTTACTAACAGAAGTGTGCCAAGCTGCATGATTTTGGCAAATTCAACATGTGCCTGCTGGCAGGTGGTAAACTTTCTATTCAGCTTTTAGAATGTCTCTGTGTGTTCTCTGGTGGACTTACTTCAGCCCACTATTGCTGTGATAAACACCATGACCAAAGCAACTTGGGGAACAAAGGGCTTCCTTGGCTTACAGTATCTAGAGAAGTCACGGCGGGAAACAGGAAGCAGGAACTGAGATAGATACCGTGAAGGAGTGCTGCTTACTGGCTTGCTCCCCATGGCTTGTTCCACCTGCTTTCTTACACAATGGAGGACCACCTGCCCAGGGGTAGCACTGCCCACAGTGGTTTTGCCCTCCCACGGGAATCATTAATCAAGAAAATGCCCCATAGATGTGCCTATAAGCAGATATAAATGGTGACTCACCAATACGTACCAGATAGGGTTAGAGTATATTTATTAGGGAATATGTCTTACTTACAGAGCACCTAGCCGCAGTAAGCAGTGCAGTAAGCCGATGAAGCAGGGAAAAAGAAGGGCTTACCATGTGCCTCCTCTCACTCTTAAACCTTCCTTAAGTCCCCTGACCATGCCCTGCCAGGCATGGTCGGGCACACCTGTAGCCAGCCCCTAGGAGGCGTGGTTAGGGTGCCTCCTACATGTGCCCACAGGCCAGTCTGATGGATGCAGTTCTCCAGCTGGGCCTCCTCCTCAGGTGACTTAGTTTGGGGATGTTTAGGAATGGACTAAACACATTTTGCATTGTATGAACATGAGACTTTAGGGACCAGGAGTGGACTGTCATAATTTTAAAAAGAGTGTGTTTTGGGTGTCAGGTTGTCAAGGGAGGACTTGTGACAGTTACCTTGATTGTCAACCTAACAGGACTTGGAATTGTTTAGGAGACAACTGTGGGCATGCCTGTATTTCTAGAGAGTTTAACTGACATGGGAAGACTGGGGCCAGGGAGTTTTGGAGGACACTCAAATAAACATAGTGGAGTCTGGCACAAGAGAGCTCTTTTCATTCAGTCCACTAGCAACACATTTAAACAGCGCAGGACAGCTAACCAATGGAGCGTTTCAGTTCCTTAATTCTACCTCACTCGAGTTCTCAGGACATAGGAAGAAAAAAACGCCACCAAACTCTTAGACCAAAATGTGACAAGATCTCTAGGCCAGTTCCCGATAGAGTCCTCACTCCCGTCTGAAACCCCAATGTCCACATTTCTCCCACCGTCCACATTTTTCTCAGCGTTGTAAGATTCTTCCTCACCCACCTGAACAGCTGTAAGCGCGCTATCCCATCTAGCGCTTCTGTAGCCAACAACGCCAGACTCCTCCACATTCCTCTCTCAAAGCAGTTCCAAAGGTCTGTCAGCCACAGCGTCAGCTTGATCTCAGCAGCAGCCCCACCTCTCGGTACCTGGTTTCTGTATTAGTTATTTTTCTGATTGCTCTGACAAAGGCAAGTTCTAGAACGAAGGTGTAGCCTGGTTCGTGGTGTAAAAAGGATTCCAGCCCATCATGGAAGAGAATTCTGACAGCAGGACCGTGAGACAGCAGGTCACACTAGTCTCATCCAAGAAGCAATAAGATGACTGCTCCTACTCCTCAGCCCAAGATGCCAGCCCACCGGGAGTGCCATCCCTTCAGGGAGGTGCCTCCCACCACGGTCAGTCTCTGGGAAAATGCCTTCACAGGCCTGCCCAGGTGCAGTCACAGGTGGTTCTCAAAGCCATCAGGTCTACACCACCACAACTGTCTCTTGGAACTCTCCGTCTCATTCTTCCTGGTGTCTGGAGAATGTCCCTCGTTACTTACTGTGGGTAAGGTAAAGGAAATGTACTGTCTTTTCTGTGAAATGAGGCAAAGAAATTTCACCTTTAAGGAAACCTGTAAAGACACCATCTGGCACCATGTGGGTCCCAGGGATCTAACTCAGTTGTCATGTTTTGCAGTCAGTGCCTTTACCTGCTGAGCCATTTCCCCAGCCCTCAAATTTGGATTTATATCTTTCCCCAGACCAATGATAAGACAGCCCAGTACTCTCCTGCCCCTGGGCAGCAGCAGCCCAGTAACTCCCAGGCAGCTGCGCAGTGGAAAGGAGAGATAGTTGAGTATTTTATGTAATGTCACTAAGCAGTTACATTCAGTAAGTAGGTTGGCGTATCCGAGCACTTTTTACTTAAAATCCTTTGAATTTATTATGGGTTTATCAGGATGTGAGCCATTGTAAGTTGAGGAATGGTGTCATGTTGCCTTGCGGCAGCGTTTAAGAGGGTCTGTTTCCCATCTCACTGACCCAATTTTATGAAACTTTCCAGACTAGTAGATAAAAGTATTTGTTTTATTGTTGTTATTTTATTGTGAATTAGGAAGAACATAGATTTATTTCACATAAATACATAAATGCCAGAGGGCTGTTTGTTTTTTGTTTTTGTTTTGTTTCATTTAATCACTTGGTGTGGTTCATTCTCACAGTTTTAGTGTTTTCTCTAGAGGGCCATTTTCCTACATTGTGCCTTAAGTAAAATACTTTGGAGAAGAAGACCAAACATTTTAACCCTTGGTCCCTTGCCTGGCGCTAGCAGTGTTTTAGTTGGTGCCTCCATCGCTGTGCTTTGGCGAGGTCTTCTCCAATGGATTTAATCATTTGGTCAGTGGTTTTTTTCAATGTGGTTGCTGTCTTTAAGGCATGATCCAAAGCCGAGTTTAAAATCTACAGAAGGAAAGTCCACATATTTTAGTTACAAAAACATACTGATATCTCTGATAATTGGATTCACTCATTATTAAGCATTACAAGATGAACTTTTTGGAGCATTCTGTTTCCACACAGTTTATTTCTGTTTTTGAGGCGTGGTCTCCTAGGAAACCAGTCTGGGATGGAATGTATTTGTCAAGGGAAGGAAGAAAAAAAAAATCAACTCATGACTGATGAACATGAATCAGAGGGTGAGGCCAGCAGCCTGCTGGCCTGTTCCTGCTGCAAAGAAAAAGAGGAGCTTAGGGGCCATCAAAGGGACACACATGTGTGTGAAAGTATCCCAGGGGCTGGGTTACCAGTCTGAGCATAGGAAATGGCTGGCACCCCTAACCTAAGTCAATGGCCCAGGAGAATCCTGGGGCAGAGGCACCACCCACCAACCACTGTCTCCAGGAAGTTCCTTTGGATCCCGTTTAGGAATGATGCAAACCATGTGGCTGTTGAGGCCCTGTGTTTTTAGTTAGTGCTGAGCAAGGATTGTTTTTAGCAGAGCATTTCTGAAAGCCCAAATGATAACGCTTGGAAGCTAGCCTTCTGTGCTCTTTAGGACCATACATCTGAACTGCGGTGATTTTCTCCATTCTCACCTTAGATTCCGTTTCTTCCATGCTATTCCCGTCACACAAGGATTGGATTCCAGGAATCCTGAGGAAACGGAGGTGGACTGAGGGTGTTGCAGGGTCTGTGTTACAGATCAGGTAAGTCTTTCTAGAAGACAAAAGCACATTGTTGCCTGTGTATGGCACCACCCAAATGCATTCTCTCTCTAGGCTTGGGTCAGCTGTGTGTGTGTGTGTGTGTGTGTGTGTGTGTGTGTGTGTGTGTGTGTGTGTGTTTCTCCAGAACAGCAAGAGCCAAGACTCCAAAGAGATTCTTCTTCTCTTGTCATTCTTTTGAGGCCAGCCTTCTACCCTGTGTATTCATAAAGACACACAAAAAATTGCCAGTTACAATAAAATACCTTGGCTTGAGTTTGTTCGAACACCAGTGACGGTGCTTAGCAAGGCGGCTGGAGCAGTGGGGAAATGAGGGCAGTGTCTCTTTAAGTCAGTGGCCCCCTACACTGCCTACTGTCCTCTGAGGATCAGCACTAAGTCTGCATGCAACGGATGTGGTACAGGACCACTAGTGTTCAGTTGTCTACCAAACAGCTCTGAGTGGTTTGTTCCCTTAATCTCTGTGAGGAGGGGCTGCCACAGCACTTGCCCGGAGACAGGTCTGTTGTGGAGCCTCCTGCATTTGGTCCCTCTGCTAAGCCTTTTTTGGAGATGGACACTTGTGAGCAGTGTCACCTCCAGGAAGTCACTTGAAACGCATGTCACCTCAGAGCCTCTGCTCCTGTCAATTGCACATTAGTTGGGTTGTAGTTCACTTAGCACGTTGGAGCCATCCTCCAGATGAGAAGCATTCTGTTTCAGGGGTCCCCGACTAATTGAAAACACTGGGCAGGGGATGGCAGTGTGGTATAGTAGGGAGTGCAGGGGCTTTGGAGTCCTCTCCCCATATGGAATCACCCAGTGCCTTGAACAGGATTAACAAACAGTATTGCTGAGTACTTCACCTGTTTAAGTCTTTTAAGATTAATTGATGACTTCATAATCTATGTAATACACTTTTATAATGCATTCTGATTACACTTGTCCTCTACCCTCTCTTATTCCCCTACCATTCCCATCAGCACCCCCCTGCCTTACCACCAAGTCCCCATCCCATTTTGCTTTGCTTTGTTTTACTTTGAGACGCACTGGACCTTTGAAGCCAAGTTCCATTCTTGACATTTTACATGTGGTCTTGGTGAATCTGGTCCTATCAGTCCCATTTTACATCCAGGAAAATAGAGACTCAGGGAGGGTAAGTAACCTTTCCAAGGAAAGTGATATGGCATGAACGCAGGGAGTCTCCAAAAGCTACATTCTTGTGTTGGTTTGGTTTCTTTTTTATTTGTGTGTGTGTGTGTTCGCGCGCGTGCGAAGCCAGAAGAGAACCCTAGAGCTAGAGTTTCAGGCTATCGCGCGCGCGCGTGCGAAGCCAGAAGAGAACCCTAGAGCTAGAGTTTCAGGCTATTGTGAGCCACCTAGTATGGGTCCTGGGAACCAAACTTCAGCCCCTTGTTTTGGTGGATTTTTTGTGTTTGTTTGTTTGTTGAGACAGTCCCATTATGTAGCCTTGTCTGTCCTGGTGGCTGTGTTGTAAGCCCAAGCTTGCCTCAAACTCACCTATGCTCTTGCCTCAGCCTCTGAGCTGTGATTACAGGTAAGCCCTGCCATGCCTGAGTTCAAATACTGTATTTTAAATGACTGTACTTTTCTGGGTAGCAGGCTCAGGCTTGTTTGTCTAGGAGAAGAGCCTGGACTGTTGTCACTGTGCTGTGCTGTTGGTTCTGACTTAAAGGGCTCCTGACACCCGCTTCTCTCTCCATCACCTTGAATCAAGCTGCCATGATCCCAGCAGACTCTCCCCTTGCTGCCTCTTTAGCCTCTGTGCTCTGGTTTCTGCTCCTCCAACCCACCCCTCATTTCTCACTAGCCACAGTGATTTCTTACTGTTGTTTTGTTTAATGAGATGGTCTCTAGCTGGCCTGGAACTCATTGTTACCCAGGCTAGCCAGAACTCCTACAGAAGCCTCCTAAATGCTGGGATTGCAAGTGCAAGCCACTATGCCTGACTACTACAGTGGTCTTTTGCAATTCTACAAAATTCCCGATTTTAAGACTTCCTCCTTTGCCCATTGCTCTGAAGAACCTGAAGAGGCCTGCCTCCACCTGCTCCATCTTGCCCCACCACTCCCTTTGGGCTCCTGACAGACACACTGGCAGGTTGCTGAACTTGCCCAAGGGCCTTTTCTCCTCAAAAAGCCTTAGTCTAGAATGTTCTTCATATCTATCCTGATGTCCTCTGATAGTCCATTCATACTTTTCCTTTGAGCTCAGGTTCCTGAACCCCCAAATCAGTCAGCAGCACTGCATGCATGTTCCTTTCTGGCATTCCCAGCTCCTCCTGAGAGCTCAAGGGTAGATGTGGCTATTGTCCAGGCCTCGGCTCTGGCACAATGTCCTGCGTTTGGCACTTAAACATTGGCTGAATAAACAAGACTGCAGTAACACCAGATAGGTTCAGCTCTACCAGCGACAGAGTAAGGCAGGCAATCTTGTCTAGGTAGTTAATGGTACAGTATATGCACCTGGGTAAAGAAATTCTATTGTGTGCATGCGTGCGTGTTTGCTTGGGCACATGAGTGTTCATGTGTGTATGTGTGTATGTATGTGTGTGTGCATGCATGTGTGTGCATGCATTCATGTGTGCATGTATGTTCATGCATGTGTGTGTGCATGTGTGTTTAGAGTCTTACTCTACACCCCACACTGGCCTCAAACCCACCTCAGAGCCCAGACTAGACTTCACCTTTTGGTGAGCTTCCTGCCTTGCCCTCTCAAGTTTAGAGATGATGGGGGTGAGCCGCCATGCCTGACTCTGCTTTTGTTATTAGTAATAGTAAACAACAACTCACCCTGTCGTGGTATCTTGCTCATCTTGAAAGGATTCTGAGTTTACTCTTTGGGAACATGTCGACTTTGATGTTGAACAAGCTGAAAAATGTTAGCTGGGATTAGATTCAGAGCATCAAAGTTGGCCTCCACAGATCTTTGAGTTAGAGGTCAGCCTGGTATTCACTGCAAGTTCCAGGGTAGCCAGGGATGCATAGTGAGAGCCTGCCTAAAAAAACCCAAAACCTCCAAATGGTGGGAATGAGTCACCTCCTTAACTTTGCACTATGGATGAAATAGTTCATAAACATTTAACTACGATGTAAGAAACACAGGAAGCAGAATTTTCTTCCAAGAATTCTGAATTCATGAAACAACTTTTTTTTTAAATTTTATTACATTATTGATTCATTTTGTGTGGTGCACACATGCCACTGTACCCGTGTAGAGGTCAGAAGACAACTTTCAGGAGTCATTTCTCTCCACCATGGGATTGAACTCTTGTTGGCAGCAAGCACCTTTACCAGCTGAGTCATATTGCTGGCCCTATTTCTGGTTTGTCTTAGAGTCTCTCTCTTTCCAGGCTGGCCTTGAACTCACAGCAGTCCTCTTGAGTGCTGGTGTTCCAGACGTGAGCCATGCATGACAACCAACATGAAACTCGGACAAAAACTCTACTAGAGCTCAAGAGATTGAGGCAGGAGGGTTGTCACAAGCCCAAGGCCAGCCTGGGCTACAAAGTGTGACCCTACCTCAAAATACTAAATACAACAACATGTCTTTATTTATTAGTAGATAAGAGACCAGGGATTTATATTCCTTGGGTGTTCACTGTGTGACCTGGCATTGTTTCCAACTGTGCACTACTTCATCTAATAAGCACCGAGAGGTACAGTTTCCAAAAGGTGAAACCCAAATGAATTCTAGACCCTCCATCAACTTCAGGAGTCAGAAACTAACCATTGTATTACAAAGAGGATTCCAGAAGAGAAACTAAATGCTGAAGGGGAAAATGGGAAGTCACTATGGAAACCAAAGAGACAGACAGAAAGGGACAAGTCAGTGGGGGAAAGAAAGCTGCACTGTCTGTTACAAGTATATGAGAGGCATTTCCACCACACCCCTAACCTGTTACAGTGTGTATATGAGGCACACTTCCACCCCCACCCAGAACAGTCTCCATGCATCTGAACACTTGGTTGCCAGTGGATAGATGTTTTCGGGACTGGAGAAGCTGTAGGCGATGGTAGGACGTGGCTGGAGGAAGTGGCTCACTGGAGGGTAGATGCTGTATCTATGGCTTATAGGCTGGCTCTGCTTCCATCCAGGGCTCTGTTTTCTAACTACTGAAGACTCAGTTGGCACCCTCCCACTCACACCATCATGCTTTTTCGGTCGACTCTACCCTTCTAGCCCATGAGTACAGTGAATCCTCCCTCAAGGTGTTTCTGTCAGGAAGAATGTGACTGCAGTGAGAAAAGCAGCTAACACTTCTGTTGCTGAGGACCTCCCCTTCCCCCTTTTCCTTCTTCCTCTTCATTCCTGTCTTAGTCACTAGTGTCTCATAGTGAGGCTCTGCTTCCTTCCAGAGGGTCCCACTGGACAAAGAAAATCAGCAGACTGTTCCTCAAACATGGGAGACAAGGCGAATGCCAAAAGGTTTGGCTTTAGGCAGCTGGACCACCAGTGTTGGGTCATGAACACAGATGCTTATGGGGCCAATCATAGTTGTCAGTTGTCTGTAAATGTAGCTTGGGAGTTTACTGGAAACAGAATTTGAAATGAGCACAGTGTCATGGGATTCAGTTCCAGACTAGTCTGCAGATGGACACCGGACCTGTCGGATGAAGTACCCGATAGACATTTTTTACCAGCTTCCTTTACTGGAGGTTCCTTTCCAAGACTGAAGGAAAGCCGCCTTCCCGTGCTATCTCCCGCTAAGCTGCTATGTTTCCTAGGGGAGTTCAGGGTCCCGTTTCAGAGTCTGTGCCATTTCACTATGTGTATCAGAAGAGCAAGTCCAGCACTGTAGTACACAGTTCAGTAACAGAACACTTTGCTTTACATGTGTGAAGTCCAGGTTCCATCCTTGACCCCATAGAAGAGGAAGAAGGAGGAGGGGAGGGAACAGGTGGGTGGAAAGAGGCGGGGGGGGGGGGGGGGGAGGAGGGGGGCCCACAGAGACCTGGGGCTGAGGGGTCTGCCAGTGTTGGCTGGTGGAAGAGTGTGTTTGCAGAGCTTCATAGAAGAGGCAGGAGGAAAGCCCCAAAGACCAAGAAGATAGAGAAGAAACCCACTATGTGGCTCCCGCAGAATCATAGTGACCCCCTTTGGAAGAATGTGTCCCATTGGACTTGTCTGCTGGCTGGGAAGGGAGGGAGAGGAGCCGCTGATTAACTCAGGGAAATGGCATTCTTTGGTCTTGGGCATTGGCAGTTGTGAAAAGCAAGAAATATTCTTCCTGGGGCTTGCCTAAGAGAGGAAGAATTCTAGAGGGATGGAGGAAGAGCTATGCCTCTGTCAGAGAAGTCATGGCTGGCTGCTGGAGTGGAACAAGATGCATCTTCGTCCCTGTCCCCTGTCCCCACAGCATCTTGTGGCCTTGCTTCTAGTACCTACCATATTTGCTTTGAGCTTTCCTTACTTGGGCCCAAATCCTAAATGAGGAATTTCTTAGGAGAGAGGTGCTGTGCCTTCCTTATTCATCTTTATAAATGAATGTGGAGTTTCAATTTTTCTCAAAGATTGCAAATACTTGCATTGTAAATTAACAGCTGTGTGTCTACGGAGTGCCAAACCTCTGGACACACTGCATAGGGATAGTAACAGTAGAGTCAGCCACTCATTGGTTCAGAGTGTATCCTTGCTACTGACTTGACTGTGGCCGCTAACCTCACAGCCCGCCACCACCGGCATTTCCCAGTCCCCAGCCCCTGCTCAGCCACTTGTCACCCACATACAGACCTGAATTTGGAAGTGTCAAGTAAATGCAGGAAGCCTATGAAGTCATCTAGAGAGGACCTGGGAGACTTGGATAATACACAGATAGGGCCATACAGGAGATGTCACAGATAGGGTCATACAAAAGATGTCACAGGTAGAATCATACAGGAGACATCATAGATAGGGTCATACAGGAGATGTACTTACAAGATGAAGACATTTTATTTCCATGTAAGAAGAGGGACTGAGCAGATGTATATCGTCCATTGTGATTTAAGTCATCCTGCCCTGGAGTGTCATATCTATAATGAAATTCTAAATAAAAGGAAAAGGTGGAAAATACAGCCCCTTGCCTGGGAAAGATGACTGTCCCAACCCACCCCTCTGGAGTCCCCCAGTTGGTTTTTACCTTTTGGTTGTTCTTTGCTGCAGAATCTCTGGGAGATCTGACTCTTACTGCCACTGTCCTCACATTTGTTACTCTGTAATCCAGTGCCTGAATCAGGAGGGAAGCAGGGCCCCAGGTCAGAACCTAAGAGGGTTTTCAGAGGTTTGTTGAGCATAGTCACGAAGTGTGGAAAGTAAATGCTCGTGTGCTGTGTGCCTCGGGCACCAAAGGGCACTTTCCTCAGTGGTGCTCCCAGGGGGATTGCCAACCAAGGGCATCAGCTCAGATCCCTGCTGACAACAGAGATCTTTCTGATATATGAACATTCCCAAACATACCCAGGCCATATAGACACGCAGGAAAGATCTGAACCACTGTGGGACTTTGGTCCACTGGGTTATTGGATCCTCCTTACATTTGTAGCTGTTTGTTTTTTGCTTTTTTTTTTTTCATATTTGTCCCCAATACACTCAAGTTCTTCATCTCAGATCCTCTTAGGGCCAAGACTGTTCTGTCATCTGGGTGGCCTACTATGTAATATCCACAAAATCACAGGAAAATCCAAGTGATAAATTTGCCTGGCCTGAGACATTAGGAGCAGAGGGCATGTGTAGTTGGTACCAATCTAGAACCTGCTGGGCACACTGTGGGCTGTGGAGATGCCAGGGAAGACCAGGGCATTTAGGCGTGCGGGGGCAGTGATGGGGGATGTACTTCTGTATGTATGTTTCTCTTATTGGTTAATGAAATAAAACAGATTGGCCAATAGCCAGGCAGGAAGTATAGGCAGGGCTATCAGATGAGGAGAATTCTGGGGAGAAGATGGCAGAGAGGAGCTGCAAGGAGACACCATGTAGCTATGGGGAAAGATAGGACGTGCCGGGCATTTTTGGGTAAGATAAGGCCATGTAGAAATACATAGAATAACAGTGATGGGTTAATAAGAGAGAGATAGCCACTAAGAAGCCTGAGACATTGGCCAAACAGTTGATAATTAATATAAAGTCTTTGTGTGTTTATTTGGAACTAAACAGCTGTGGGATCAGGTGGCACACAACCAACTACAGGTTGTGTGTAAATCACAAATTAAAGACCTGGGGTTGAATCCTGGCTCTGCCACTTATTACATGTGGTATCTGAAAATTCTTTGACACTTGCTTTATCAATCATCTGTCATTTATCTATCTCTCTATTGAGGCAGAATCTCTCTACATAGCTGTGGCTGTCCTGAAACTCACTGTGTATACCAGGCTGGCCTCAAACTCACTAGCCTCTGCCTCCACCATGCTGAGATTAAAGGTGTGCACCACCACACCAGGCTAATACTTGCTTTGAAAGGTGACACTTAGGCTAGGGAACATTTGCTTGGCATGCACAATGTCCCTGGTTCCATCTGCAGAACTACAGAGGGAAAGGAAGGTCTTGGTCTGATTCTTCTCTCCTTGAGTATGGGTTCATATCTAACAAAATAAAGCAGTAACAACAATCCAATAACCTCTCTCTTTCTCAGGACCCTTGCTCATAAGGAAGCTGGCTGTCATACCTCAGTGACAAGCACAGTGGCCTATTGGAGGCTGCACTGGGTCTCCCTGTTAAGTACCATGTGAATGATCCACTCTGGCCCCTAATCAAGCCTTCAGTCACTCTCAGCCCTGACAGACATCCTCCTAGGGGACCCTGTACCTGAACCATCCAGCCCACTTGCTCCCAAATGCCAGAGCCACAGAAACTGTCAGATAATATTGGCCACTGTTTTGAGTCATTAGGTTCTGGGATATATGGTTATGAAAGTGGTAGATAACTAATACACTAGGTCTTTGACTCAAGCAAGTTAATTCCTTTGAGTTGTATTTCCTTACCTGTAAAATGAAGATAGTTCCCATTTTACAAAGGTTTTACAATAATTAAAAGATACTATCCCAGTGCTCTTTACATTAGAATCAAGGACTCAAAGGGCCGGAGAGACTCAGCTGTTAAGAGCATCTGCTGCTCTTGCAGAAGACCCAGGTTTTGTTCCCAACACCTACAAGGCAGGTCACAACCATCTGTTGCTCCAGTTCCAGGGGATCTGATGCCCTCTACTGGCCTTCACCAGTGTGAGACATGCATGTGGTATGCATATATCCACAGAGTCACACACTCAGACAGGTAAAAATAAGTCATAGTGGTGCATGCTATTAATCCCAGCACTTGGGAGACAGGCAAGTGGATCCCTGTGAGTTTGAGGCCAGTCTGGCCCATATAGTGAATTCCAGGAGAGCCACGGCTATTAGAGAGACTCTGCCTCAAATAAATAAATATATATTTTAGAAAGGGGAGCTATAAATAACTCGGGTTACTATGGTATTTATCTACTATACATGAGAACATGAACCATTTTATATACCGTAAAAATTTCTCACCAAGGCAGGCATGGTTGCTCAAGCCAGTAATACTACCACTTGGGAGGAAGAGGCAGAAGGATCAGGAGTTCAAGGCCAACCTCAACTATATAGGAAGTTAGAGGCCAACCTGGGCCATATGAGACCTTGTTTCAAAAAACAAAAAGTCTCCCCAGTAAGAAATCATCATAGAACATTTAGTCTCCCACACACACACACTGCAGATAGACTCACAAAGGTATCTTGATATGTAAAGTGTGAATTATTTCAGTGTCCAGATCTTCATAAGGTTCCGAAGATTGTTTTAAGTTTAAACTGAGACATTACAAATACTTGATTATTTTACGTAAAAATGACAAGGCCTGGCATGTGGCCAGTGGCAGAGCCCTTACATAGCACATGTGAGGCCCTGGGCGCCATCCTCTGCCCCTCAGTAACAGCAACAAGAAGTGGGCACAGGGCCACCTGCCTGTCATCCTCACTGCCTAACTGCAGCAGGAGTGTCCAGGAGTTTGGGGACAGCATAGGCAACATAGCAACACTTTCCCTTTGAAAAATAAGTAGAGCTAATGAATTCATCTTATGTTAACAAAGTAATATATGTTAAGTAAAAAAATTCTTTTCCAAAAATAAAACCCAAAGCTAATGAGACGAGTGACATCATTTTATGCTGTGGTAGCTATATTTGGCTTCATAGCCAGGAGCTGTGTTCCAAGACTGCATCCCTATCAACTGACATGCTACATTTCCGGCCTTCTATCCCTACAGTACAATACTGTTGGGTAAAGAAGGGCCTGCTTGAAAGGCTTTGAAAACTCCTGGTATAAGCATTGACTTTAGCAAGTGCTTAGTCCATGAAGCCTATTACTTGATATTCCTATCTCCGTGTGTGTGTGTGTGTGTGTGTGTGTGTGTGTGTGTGTGTGAGAGAGAGAGAGAGAGAGAGAGAGAGAGAGAGAGAGGTACAGGTCTTGCCCAGAGCGTGATGACGGGCATAGTGTCCATCTAGAGGCATGGGTTGGTACTTCACTCCATTTAACCACTTCTTAGTAAAATGGCTCATTATCAGTTCTTCACATTGGGGGGGGGGCGAGAAGGAAACCAAACAGACACCATCCTAGTCAAATGCCAACTATGATGATGGCAGATGGCAAGCTGGTACTCACTGTGAGCAGACCCCATAGAGAGGCATCTTTACCAACCATGGGCATCCCACCCCTCCAACTTACTGAGAGGTGAATCTTGGTGCGGTGTTTTTACATGGGTGGTAATGGAAAACTTTCCACAGTGGGTCCTTTTGAGGCTCTCTTTCTCCATTTTCTGTTTCCTTTAAAAGAAAGAAAGAAAGAAAGAAAGAAAGAAAGAAAGAAAGAAAACAAAAGAAAATGAGGTTTCAAAATTATAGTACTAGGATGGGTATACTGAAGCACTAAATTTCTCTGATACTCTCCAAGCCAGTGAGATAGTTCAGTGGGTAAGGTCACTCACCACCAAGTCTAGCGGCTTAAGTTTGATCCCCACATTATTGAGGGAGAAAACTGACACCCACAATTGATCCCTGACCTCCACATGTACGCCACAGCACATACCTACACACACACACACACAAACACACAACACACACACACATTCACACACACTACTTTAAAATGTTAAAAGAATACATATTTTAAAAAGGAATTTGAAGTGTGGAATTATGAGAATTTGTTTTTTCTTCATAATGCTATGTCAAAATCAGTTTTTTGAGGGGTTGGGAGCTTTTTTTTTTACTTTTCAGACAAGATCTCACACTAGTCCAGGCTGGCCGGGAGCAATAACTCTGCCTGGGTCCTCGAGCGTACTGGGATAAAGGCCAAGCCACCCCACCTGTCTCAGAGCAGTTCTTATCTGAAGAAAAATCGTGTTTACATTAGTACTGGATTACGGCGCTCTGACCCTCTTAAGTCCAAGCTAAACTGAGTCTGGCAAAGTGGGTTTTGTGTATGTGGAGGGGCTAATGGCTGAGAGACTTGAGTTCGCTTTAATAGCATATGACCACCAGGGGGCGTCAGAAACACACAAGTACAATCAGGAGACTTCTCTGGCATGTGTAGTTTCAGCCTCCCTCCACAGGGATTCTAACTCCTCCAAAAGAGTTTTAATTGCTAATAGCAACTAACAAGGCTCTTGCTCAGCCCTGGGATATAGCAACAACCCCTGGAGGAAAGTGTGTGTTCTGGTGTGAAAGGCATGGCGTCCGGACATCCTGTGTCCAGGACATCCTGGTGCACATGGGACAGGCTTGCCCAAGGCTAGTTAAAGAACTTGAAGCAGGGCTGAGCAAACGCATGTCAGTCCAGCTGTGCCTAAGCCTGCTGGTAGTGGAGAGGGGACCCCATATGGAGTTCCTGGGGTTGGGACTGGAAAGCCAGGCCCTTGCCAGCCCTTTCCTCCTGAGTCATGTATTTTCTCACACCTTATTTTCTGTCTCCACCCTCTGCCTCTGGGGCCTGTGAACATCTGCTCTCCAAGTGGAAAACTTGGATGTGGTTCAAGAGAACACAGTCCAACGCATCAATTACATTTCTCGGCTGCCTTTAGACTCCTGTCTGTACTAAGATCTTCTGGCCAGACAGAGCAGCCAAGAGCAATTCTACTGGAGAAGGCAGCTTTTTCAGGAAGACAAAGCAACTAACAGAGGCTCTCCAATCCCAAATCCGAGTCAGAAATAGCACACGGAGACGTGAATTAATATGTCACATCAGCATATCTACATTTAGGAAATTTACAATTTGTGCGTCATCAAACTTCAGAAAGAGTATAACCCACTGACGACAGTAAATTGAGGCTAGCAAAGAGTTCACAGCTTTCCTTCAGTGAATGACTCCTGGGGATCATCATGGAGGTTACCAAGATTCAGTCCCTAAGTCATGCGTGTTGTGACTTTCCACAGCAGAGTCATTTCCATGCTTTTACACTGGGCTGTGATTTTCTTCCCACCGCCTCCATTTTAAATGCTCACCCTGGAACGCTGGTCCCAGCCAGAACTGATATGTTTTTGTAGGCCTTAGATTAGGAATTTGGAAAAGAAACAATTGGTACTTTAACGTTTACTCAATTTTGTTTTTTTGAGTCAGTGTCTCACTGTGGAACTATGTACACCAGGCTGGCCTCCAACTCAAAGACCTCCCTGCCTCTCCTAAGATTAAAGGTGTGTCACCAGGCCCAGCAATCAGAATCTTTTATAAATGTCAAGATATTTCATTAGGTGTAATAAAAATCTTTTTTTTAAAGGATTTCCAATCTGGATTGCTAGTTAATTCAATGCACTGAAGGTCACAAGTGTGGGCTGCCCGGGCGAGCAAGCTTCGGTGGCTTCCTGTGCTTAGAGAGCTCAGAGGCGCAGTCTGCCGCAAAGGCTCAAAGCACCAGTCCATCCCAGGCAATGCACCGTCCTCTGTAGCCCAGCCCCACGCTGGTTCTTTTTCTAGGGGCAGAAACTTAATAAAACACTCGTGTGACAGGTGGCTCCCATGCAGGAGCGCTTTCTAACAGGAAGTTACCGTCCTCCAGACCTTGTCATCCTCTTATTGGAGCCCATTATGTACTTAAGTAGTGGTTGCAAAACAGCCCCTCCCTCCTTGACTCTTGACCTTTCGCGGTAAATCAGCTGAGCTTTGCACTCAGAGGTGGTGCCTCTCCTAACTGATAGGAGCCGCAAACAAATGTCCTGAGACCACACGGCCAACTGCTGTTCCTATGGGGATTATGTAGTTTATAGCTTGTTAATGCTGGAGGATTTCTTCTTAGGAATTCAAAGGTCTGCCCTGGAATGATGCTTGTTTCCCGTGAGACCCGGGGGAGGGGGGGCTCAAGTGAGACCCAATAGGAGAGAGAGAGAGAGAGAGAGAGAGAGAGAGAGAGAGAGAGTGTGTGTGTATGTGTGTGTGTGTGTGTGTGTGTGTGTGTGTGTGTTGCAGTCACATGAATGAGTATATGGAGTACGCGAAGGCAGAGGCCGCTGCTGGCCACCTTATTGCCTTGAGACAGGGTCTCCTACTGAACCAGAAGGCTGGCTGAACAGGATTCCCTTAGCTAGCCGGTGGCTTAGTTTAGCTATCATCCATGCTCACTGGATCACATGCTCACTCCATCACAGCCTTCCACCCATTCTCAGGAAGCCCTCACCCACCAAGGAGTGGGCAGCAGAAAGCACGGTACGGATGGTGTGGCATCATGTCTGCACATGCCTGCCTTCCCCGGGCACTGCTAGGATTCTCCTGTTCCACAAAGCGCAGCCCAGCACACAGCTCGACCTGGACAACCTCGCCACATCAGGATCAGAGACGATTGCCAGGCAACTCTTACAGATAGGAGTGGGCCCAGGGGAACAGGAGGAAAGAGCCCACACTGTCTCTGATGTCTCTCATAGTAGGCAGAGCCTGTCGTGGTCTGGTTTGGGGAAGGGAAGCTGCGGTCTTAACTTGTGCCTCTTTCTTCCTCCAAAAATATTTGAAATCAGGAGTACAGATGAGAGAATACTTCCCCTTCCCCCGTGCTCACCTTATTTTCAAAGTCCTCCACCCTCCACTCCAAGATGAACAGATAGGGAAGTCGTAGGGATTTTCTTTTGGTGCAAGGATGGAATGAATCCATGCCAAGGAAGTGGTCTACAGCCCTACCCCAGAAGATGATTTTTAGCTATTTATTTGGAATGTACGTGTGTGTCACCTGCCACAGTGTATGTGTGGAGGTCAGAAGACAAGTTTCAAGAGACACATTCTACCTTCCACCTTACTGAGATGGGTTTATAGTTTTTTGTTCTTTCTTTTTGTTTGTTTTATGAGACAGGGTTTCTCTGTGTAGACATAGACAAGGCTGGCCTTGAAAACTGGCCTCTCTTGTTTCTGTGGATGCCCTATGTAGTCCAGACTAGCCAGCAACTCTCCCATCTCCACCTCCCAACTCTCTGTGGGAGAGCCACTCCATCTGTCTTTACACGTGGGTTCCAGGAATCACATCTGAGTCAGCAAGCTTAGACAGTTAGCACTCTACCCACTGAGCTATCACCCAGCCCCTAGAAGAGAATTTTTAAACCAGTCTGACCACCGGTTACTCCAGATCAAAGTTGGTTTTGGTTTTTGGTTTTGTTTTTCGAAGAAATGTAATCATTCATGAATTAATATGAGATCTAGGGACAACTGATAACCTAAGTGATGGGAACACATAAACTCCTTAAACACATATGACTGCATAACTTAACTGCAAGGGCTGACAGCACCTGCCATGTAATTTGACTGTGGTCTTATCCTTCATGGAAAAAGAACATAAATGTCCTTTTTCCACCATTATAAACAATACTGGCACAAGCATAACTGAACACGTGGGTTTTTCCACATTTTGAATTACTTCCCAGGGAAACATCTGGGCCAAAGGTTTTGAGCATGTTTGTGTGATGACATGTTTGCCAGATTGCTTTCTACAAGTTTCACGATTGGATGACACAGCTGCCAACAATGTGGGAAGCTCATCTTGACCACACCTTTCTCAGTATCAAGAATAATCACCTGAAAATGTTTTCAATAACTCAAAGTTAGCAAAAAAAAAAAATGGGGGGCCAAGATGTATCAATTAGCATTTTTCTAGTATAAAAGGAAATGAACACATCTCTTATGTTTTTTTT